GCAGCCTCATTAGCGCTAGTAGTCGTCTTAGAAGTCCAACTTTCTATGACTCCATTAGAGGTCCCTAGAGGTGTTGCTATCTTTAACTTGATATCTAGCTTTGACAGGACTGCTTCTAGGTTATGTGGTGTAAGTCCTACACCTCGAAAACCTCCGTAGACATTATCAACAGTCATTGCCTCCTAGAATGCAGCAAATGACTACCAGACAAACCACCGCTGCAGCTACGACCGCTGGGCCATCCGAAGACATCCCGAGTCGAATGGACCACCTCGAAGCACAGATACAGGAGGTCAAGGATCTACTAGTTATCCTGTCGGCATCCCAGACCAGAATCCCGTCCACACCGCCGGTGGACGCCCCCATACCCACAGTCGAAGCTACGGCGCAACGAACGCCTCGTACACGAAACACCCCCAACACAGTTCAATTGCCGCCTCTTCGGAACACTCGTTTTCCATCGATTCCAGGGTCGTCACGAATGCACACCGAGGACCCTCCAAATTGCTATAAGAAATCAACCATCTCTGAGAAAATCCTTCCTCTCAGCGATGGGGTAGAACATACCTTCCTACAATGGAGCGCTTCGATTCGGAACTGACTCGTAGTCAATGAGGACCACTACCTTACCGACGTCTCGAGAAGAGCGTTGATATGGGGAACTACGACTGGCCTGGCGAAGACCTACCTAGAGCCCCAATACCTGTCCGCTACGCATAGGTTCCGCAGTGCTGAGGAGATGATGGATCTACTAGGTTCATACTACCTCACAGGCAATGAGACGGAACAGGCCAGGAACCTCTTCAACGACCTGCAAATGGGAGAGAAAGGGCATGCTAGCGAAATCTTCCCAGAGTTCAAGGCTCGTTTCCAAAGTGCAGCTATCACAGGACAAGTCTCCGAGTCGGAATGGTTCCGGTACATGTGGAACAAGTTGACTCCCCAATTTCGCAGCCACGTCACGATCATCAAAAACCAATGGAATGGAGAATACCAGACCATGATACAAGAACTTACCGCCTTCGACCAGGAACGGCGTGGGAACAACGAATTGAATCTGCTACCCGCTCTCACAAGGACGTCCACATGTACCACGGATATGGCAAAGGCGTCGTCAGCGTCGAAGCCGACTCGAGCCACATCCGCTCTGTTCACCCGAACCGCTTTCCTCCCCAAGCCAGCCATACCAGAACGTCTGAGAACCGCAGTCCCTGTGCCCTCAGGAAACTGTTTCAAGTGTGGCAAGCCCGGCCATTTCCAGGACAAATGCCCCCTTAATGCTACTATTAAGGAATTGGACCGTAACGACCCCGAGGCAAAAGAACAATGGAAAGAAGCCATGGAACTTCAATCGGAAGCGTCCCTCGAGGAAAACGACGAGGCCTAGGAGAAGGCTCCTTCCTAGGTCTATGCAAATGTTGTCACGGTTCACCAAGGCATAGGGCGCCAGTTGGGTATTATGAATTAAACTCAATCCAGAGAAGAAAGGAAAGAGAAGAGGCGCACTCGAGCAGTGGCTCGATCTATATACAGCTATGTTGTTGTGGAGTGAATTCTCTTTAGCGAGACCAGTTCTGAGAATTCACTCCACAACTGAAAACTTCGCTCCAACCCCGGAAAGCTCCCCACACCCCTGAACCCCCACTCGAGCTGCAAGGCGCACTTGATATCGTAACACTACCCCCCCCCTACTCCAGAGTTGATCTCCTGATCAAGAAATCCCATTTTCAAAAAAAAAACAATTGTCTCCAGCTCTCATTTTGGTTTCTGAGGGTATTTTCTGTGATATGCTTGGGTAACTTCTGGAGAATTTTCAAAGCTCTCTGCAGTATACCATGTCTCATCCGGTGGATAGTTCTTCCAAGCTGCCTTGTAGAAAAGCTTCTTTCGAATAACTTTTGAGTTGAGGATTTTGTCCACTTCCCACTCCTCTTTGCCATTGACAATGACTGGAGGCTCTGGCTCCTGTTGCTGCCCTTCGATTGCATCATTCGAGTCAAGTCTTAATAGATTGGCATGAAAAACTGGATGAATCTTCATGCTGTTTGGAAGTTTGAGCCGATATGCAACTTGCCCAATTCGCTCTAGATTTCAAAAGGTCCCACTTGCTTGTGGTCTAGCTTCTTTGATGGCCTCTGTGTCTTTATATTTTGAGTTGAAAGCCATACTCTGTCTCCCACTTGATAGCGTGGTGCAGGTTTCCTTTTCTTGTTTGCGAAATGTTCCATTTTTGCTTGCGAGAGCGTGATTTCATCCTGCAGAAACTCCCAAACCTTTGCCATGGTCTGAGCTATGTTCTTGTGCTCCTGTTTGGCTTCGTGATATGCTTGCTGCTCTGTATCGAAGCTCATTCTTGGTTCATAGCCCTTGTTCGCAAAAAACGCACTTGTCTTGGTTGCATCTGATGGCAAACTGTTGGCAGCAAACTCCGCCATGCACAAGTATGAAACCGAATTGTCTTGAAGATAGTTCACATGAGCTCGCAAGTAGCGTTCGAGCTCTGCATTGAATCGCTCAGTCTGTCCATCTGTTTCTGGGTGGAAGGCAGTTGAAAGTTTGGCTGAAATTTTCCAAATTTTGCAGAGCAAACTCCAGACTTCTGCAATGAACTGAGGACCTCTGTCTGATATTATCGAGTTTGGTAGACCATGGTGCTTCCATACATGTCGAAGTAAGAGCTGTGCTGTAGCTTCTGCAGTAGTCCCTTCTTGCCCAGCGAAACACGGAATAAAATGTCTTTCTTTCGTCAACCTGCATGCAACAACCAAGATAGCATTGTTCCCTTCACAGAGTGGTAATCCTGTCACGAAATCCATTGATATATCCATCCATGGTCAACTGTCAATAGGGATTGGTTGTAGAAGTCCATTGTAGGCATCTCGAGATGGTTTCGATCTTTGACAACTATGGCAGCTTTTGACATATCGAATTATTGTTTTGTCCATGTTTGGCCAGTGATAGTGCTGTTTAATGACTCGCAGCATCTTTCCAGCTCCTGGATGTCCCAGCTTTGCATCACCTTGGAGTTCAATATGATGGTCTGAAGGTCGATGGGGAGGTAGCTTGTCTGCTGCCATTTTTGAAAAAACATCCAAAAATTCATGAAATTCCTTCGGAAGGATCAGTCGAGAGTCAATTTCTTCAGTTTTGGTCTTGTTCTTGTGCTCGATTATGTCCTTCATTGATATAGCAAAGACTTGAGCTCCTCTTTGCTTTATGAGCATTCGAAATGGTGCTGCGCCAATCATTGCTATGGTGCAAGGTTTTGGTTTTTCCACTTTCAGAGCAGGTTCCAGAGGAGGCATTTCTTTGGCTTTCTTCTTTGGCCTTTGTCTCTCGCTTTTAGATATAGGCTCTGTTTCGAGGGCTCGATCTGGTATAAAATGGTTGCAATAATCTCCAGTGAAGAGGACTTGATCATTGATCATATCAAGAACAACTCCATGTTGGTTTATCCAAGCTTTCCTGAGAATGATGGAATGTTTTCTGAGCGAAGTGATGAATAATGGACATAGGCTTTCCACATGCTCTCCCACTTGTAGTCGAGGATATATAGAATGTAGTGATAGCATGGGCAGCCTCTCCATTGAATCCTTCAACTTGTTTTGGCTTCACAAGTTCGACTGGGGCTATCCCTTCGATTTCACATATTCTTTCTGCATCAGCAGCATTAATGAAGTTCCCACCTGTGGCACCAGTATCGATCAATGCATGGACAATAGCTTTGTATTTTTCTATTCTACAAGTAGCTAAGAAAGGGGTGTCCGGATCAAAACTGGATCTCGAGGAAGAAGCTGCAATTCTGGCTGCACTGCCTCTAGTGATGACTTGTCTAGAGGCTATTCATTTTCCGAATCGATGATAGACTCAGCTGTAGATACCTCATTCTTGAGCTTTGAGCTTCTGGGGACAGTCTCAAGCTCGATGTCCATTTTGTTGGCATATGAAGCATTTCCCAAGTTTCATGAGCATTTCTTTTGCTGGATCTTGATGCGGTGATCGATACAGCTTCTGTGTCTTGTTTTGCATGTTCGAATCCATTGTAGGTTGAGGGATTGAAGTTCGAAGTGCCTGGCCCTGATTTTGAGTTTGGCCCATGTTGTTCGAAAATGACTTTGGCTTCCTTTTGTCTTCTTGTTCCTTGATCCGCTGGATGTTCTGGTCGATGAGCATGCATTTCTTTGCAAACTCGTGAAGTGTAGTAGCTCCAACTTCAGCCACTAAGGCTTTCTGCATCTGTTGGTTGACTTTGAAGCGCAAGTCATCCAGCAAAGTTTCTTCAGAGTAATCAAGCTCTGTCGTGAGCCTTTGGAACTCAAGTTATTACAGTCAACTCCCGTTAAGTCGATACAATTGGTGACACGTGTAAATATCGTAAAAGTGAAAATATCGTTATATTGAAATGCCAAGTATTATGTAATCCACCTATCTAATGTCTCCTAAACCAAGGAATTAAGCTGAATTGCCTCAATTTCGCCCTCTAAATGCTTCTAATGCCCTGAGGTGATTGGCTCGGAGAGCATCGTGACATAAAGCCACCGCGGCTATCAATTCGTCGCTAAAAGTCGTAGAGAATTTGTTCAAGTTGAGGCCATTGGCCAGTTCGATTTCGTTGTCTAGTTGTTGTCGAGTTGTCAAGATGTTTAAAGCGGTTACTAAGGCTATCTGATATTGTCGATTGACTGAGCCTATGATTGAATTCGTGAAGAAACCAGTTGATGCAGGCTTTCTATTTGTGTGCCTAATGTCGAATGGCACGGCGCTGTTTGAGTGTAATCGTGTGTTTTCGAGGCATAATAGAGTTAGATAAGTCAATAATTAAAGGTCAGAAGGTCAATATCGCGAATATCGAGAATTGAGTGCGAAAATCAATTGGTGCTGAAAAAAATATCGACTTAGCGGTGTTATCGACTAATCCGACATCGTCTTGGCGAGAGTGGACTGTATTGCTAAATACATTATTTATACTCTATAGCTATACTTCCTCTTAATCTGTAAAAAGCTACTAGTATACCCAAACCTATCGCAGATTCTGCACCCTGTCCTCGGTTTCAAGTCCACCGAACTTATAGAGGCACCCCCCGCAAAATTGGCGCAGCTGTTGGCGCAGCTGAAATGGGATGGCGGGGTAACAACTTCCGGATAATAATGTACCCCAACTGCTATACAGCTCTCTTAAATCCTCAAATCTCAATTCCCAACGTATCCATTGACAAGTAAATTGCCTTATAGCGCATTCTTTTAATCCTTCGGTGCGATAAAAGAAACCCGAATCATCGCCGCCGCCATTAGCCTCAACCGCACGACGCGCTGTCACGATGCCTAAAACAACCCCTCCTCTGGCGGATGTCATCCCCCCTCTCATCTTCGGAACAGCGGTCTTCAACCACCAGTACAATAGCGACCCATTTTCCTTGCCCTCCACCACTCTCGTGCATCACGCATTATCTTCCGGAATCTCCGGCTTCGATACCTCGCCATACTACGGCCCCAGCGAAGAAATTCTCGGCGCCGCACTTATAGCACCCATCGCCGAAACGAAGGCGCCATTTCCCCGCGACCAGTACACAATCCTTACAAAAGTGGGCAGGATAGCCGCGGATGAGTTCGATTACTCGCCGGAATGGATACGGAAGAGCATTGCGCACTCCCTGCAGCGCTTGCACACAGACTACCTAGACGTTGTCTACTGCCACGATGTCGAGTTCGTGACCCCCGCAGAGGCTCTGGGGGCTATTAAAGAGCTACGCAGGATACGGGATGAGGATGGAAGCATCAAGTACGTGGGAATCTCTGGATTTCCAGTCGGAACCCTCTGCGGCTTGGCAGAGATGATCCTGCGGGAGACCGGGGAACCTCTCGATATTGTCCAGAGCTACGGGAACTACACGGTGCAGAACCAGACTCTGAAGAATGAGGGCGTGCAGCGCTTCAAAGCAGCAGGTGTGGATGTCATCCCCAATGCGAGTATACTGGGAATGGGGCTGCTGCGGACCCAGGGTGTGCCGATAGGGAGCATGGGGAACTGGCATCCGGCTCCGGATGGCTTGCGTGATGTATGCAAGGACGCTGTGCGAGTTTGTCAAGAAAAAAGCGAGACCCTTGAGAATGTTGCCACGCGTTGGTCACTGGAGCATTGGCTCATGGATGGGGCGGACGTGGGCACAGCATCTTCTGGGGTGGATGGGCAGAAAATTGGCGTTAGTGTAATCGGTGTGAGCAATTTGGTGGAATTGGAAAGGGCTTTGAAAGTGTGGCAGAGCGTGCAAGATGGGGTGAAAAGTGGAGTAGAAGAAAGTAGGAAGACGGGCAGTCTGAACAGGAGGAGGCACATTGATGAAATCGTGGTTGGGATACACGCCGTCCTAGGGAAGTGGAGGAATTTTGCTTGGGACAGCCCCGGCGCAGAATTTGTGAACAAAGCTGCGAAATAGAGTATCACGAAGATAAACACGACCCATTATAGTTTGTGTCCAAGCATAGATGTGGACGAATATTAAATGCTTGCTACAGTGATATAGTTAACTCCTTTGAAGCAAATCCCACTCGAGGCTAAACGAACCACAGTCCGAAAGTCTAACGAGGTACCTGTCCACCAACTCCGTGCAAAGTTCGTACAGTAAAGCAATCCCTATACATCCATTTCCACAAGAAAAAGATTCGTTCCCAGCAATTGCCTTGCCTTGTTCCATTACATACACGAATAAAATATTCCATACCCTACCAGAAACTACACCACCCAATGTAATGCTGGCAAAGGTTCTCGAGCTTCGTCGCCTCAATGAGCAACTTATCGACTTGGTCGATATAGCTCAACTCCTCGTCCGGTTTGAAATCACGCCCTGTGAGTTTCTCCTTGACCCTGTTCAGAACTTGCACTGCTCTCTCATTCTGGATCTCAGTATGGTCTTGCCCAGGTTCAGTAACTGCGGTAGAATTGGTGCGACCACGTGGACGTGCGGATGGAGGACCGCCTGGTGCTGTTGTTGGGTCCTGAGCGACTAGCTCGCTGGGGGGGATGTTGGCATCCAAAACCGATGAGCGCCGTTGATCCGCTGCCATTATGGAGCCTCGGCGGAAGTTAGGGCCCTCACCAGGGGAATGGGCTCCAGTCAGGCGCCAGTTAAGAAGGGGGTCGTGAATGAACTGCGGCTATTAGCATCGAACGTTTTCGAAAATGTGGGTGGGAACAACTTACAGCTTCAAGGACGGCCATCAAAGACTCTTTATTATCTCTGACAACTCTCATCACATTCTCGCAAGTGATTCTGAAACTTCCTTCAATATTGCTAACCTCCATAGCATATGTCAACATTCTTGTGAGACGGAATGGAACTCTCTCCGGGTATTTGTCGCGGTGCATAGCAACTTCGAAACAGTCACCGAAATCGACATGGATGATCTTTCCGGTGATCCTATCAAGCATCAAGTTGGAAGGATGCCTGTCACCAAGGCCTAGGATGTAGCCAACAATGGACATCACACCCAGAGAGCGGGTATAGTTTGTGCGGCGGTCCAACCAGGCCTCAGAACTCTTACTCTTCAGCCACAGAACCCGATAAAGATCCTGGCCAGTAGTATTGTCAAGGGCGTAGCCAAAGACTTCAACTTTTTGCATCAAGGTCAGGTTGTCATAGTCCGGTGCCATCTGAAGCATGATGCGATGCTCAATATTGAGCAGAATCTTACGGCTCTCTCGATATTCACGTATAAGAACATGGAGAGTATCGCTGTTTTCAACCCAACCAAGAAGACCAGAACTTTGTGATAGAGGAATTGCGGGGTATCTTTCGATATTGAGATGACGCTTGTACGACTCTGAATCGTGCGAGAGTAGGGTATTGCAGAGTCCGAAGAGCTGCATAACACGTTCGTCCTGACGCATGTCCTCGTGGCCCTTCAAGAGGAACGCATATGCAACACCATCGCTGCCATTCATACGGAGCCTTCTTGGTCGTTGTTTGGAATTAATTACCGAAAATGTCGGGTCGAAAGACAGAATACGAATAATTGGCTTACCGCTCTGGTAGGTGCCGGGCACGGCAAGATCAAGATCGCGTACATGAAGAAGCTTTGGTGAGACATATGCAAGCTCTAGACTGGTAAGCTGAGGTAGTTGTCGAGCAATGCGCCGGAAAACCTGATAATACAAATCCCAAGCTTGGTTCAAGTCGCCGACATCCCTAGATTGCTTGTACGTGTAACACCACTCTCTTGCTTCCTGAAGATCACGGCCGAAGGTTTGAGCGAAGGAAATTTCACGCAGAGTTTCGGGGCCCTTGTCAAGCTGTTCGTGTAGCGGGGTGAGTGTCGCAAACATGCCCTCAATATCATTGGCACCGAAGTAGAGCCTCGATGCTTCTTCAAGGCCTTCATGCCATTGTTCATGCCAGAGAACTGCGACACGGATAAGCTCTTGGCTAACAACGTCGGCTTGGTCCACAAGTTGGGCGCTGTGCTGACGCATGCTGTCCATAATTTGGCCAGCAGACCTGGATCTTCTTGTAGTCTGTGCCGACTTCATGGCAACAGTAAGAGGGTATACAAGAGCCTGGGGATGTGCACGGCCGACATCTGCAAGCAGGGCATGAATTGATTGCCGCACGCGTGTATTCGGCTGGTTAATACGCGCAATAAGTTGCGGGATAACCTCGAGCCAGGTATCAACGCTGACCGAAGCAAATCCCTCGATAACCACTGCATTCACCTCGAGGTTTCCGCCGTGTGTAAACCATAGCGTAAGGAGTCGAAGTGTATCTTGCAAAGAGCTTCCGGCTGATAGTGAAATCGACTTGAAGAATCCCCTCACAGCGGGAACAACGTGGTCGATCAAGACATTATGAGGTACCACCGCTGTCTCTCGCTCCGGCTTCTGATTCACGGACTGAGCAATCTCGAAGTTCGCTAGAGCCCAAGCATGCCAAGCCTTATACCAGTGCGGATTGAATTGCGTGGCAGCAGAATATGCTGCCAGGATATCTCCAACTTGATCATGACGCCAGTCACCTCGGTTTAGCGATACTTGCCATTCTCCTTGCTTGAGGCAGCATCGAGCAAGCAACTCGGTATGATCTGCTAAAGCCTTAGGGCTCATAGCGTAGGGTACGCCGTTGCCGTTCACAGCAGCGAGGCCGTTCGCCATGTCATGTCCATCCTGCATGCCGTGCGCGGCCATCTGCGACGCATGCAGTCTTTCGGCCATGTCGTTGCTGAAGATTTTAAGCCCATCTAATGCCGCAGCCTTGAGCCCAACGGCCCAGTGATATTTGAGGACGGCATAATTGACTGCTGGAGTAATATGTCTAGGTGGCTCATGATGGTATTGCCCGTGGCCATCAGCATTGATATATGGCAGAACAGCATCGAGACTGTCATCGTTTCCAATTAATTGCTGCAGAGATTTTTCAGCCAGACCCATCCGACCTGATTTTCTACACAGATTGGCAAATTTGATCCACATCTGCATGTTCTCCTTGGGAGAAATGACGAGCGCACGGAGCTTCAACATTCGTTGCCATACTTCGACGTTTCGCTGGCACCCCAACAAACGTGTCTCCCACGTACGTCTCATCGTTTCTTGCTTGGCTGGATTGTCGTTGCTCTGCTTGTACACAATAAGCTCTTCAAGTTCAGCAAGCATCTGAACCCGAACGACTACAGCATATGCGCGATTGTAAGACTCGCTCACAAGAGCGCTCAGCTCCGTATCTAGTCCTTCTCTTGCTTTTTGAATGTATACGCTTGCCTCATGAAACTGGTTCCTATGAAGCGCGAGAATTGCACCGAAGAATGATCGGTCCGGAGACTGGATCTTCATAACGCTTAAGTAATCATCCATAAGATCCCACTTGCCCAAGCCCCAAGCAGAGGAAGTAGCCAGTGGTGCGATCCTTCGCTGAACATCAAGAGTTGAGGTATGGAAGGTATCTTGGGCCAAAGCTGAGAGCTCGTCCCATTCACCGAGAGCGTGTAAACATCGCATCTTGCCCATGATGATCTCTATCCTCTCACCAGGCTCGGTGCTTTCTTGCTCCCTCTGCTTGTAGAAATCCAGTGCCTCTTCCCACCTCTCAAGCTTTTCGAACCAAGTCTCTCGCAGTGCAATGCCATCTGCATACAATTGCGCTCTCCGGAGAATTCCAATCGCAGCGTCGTATTGCTGCAACTGGTTGTTTATCTGTATCAATGCTTCAACGGCACCTCCACTCTGGTCCTGTAGGAATTCCAGCTCTTTATAATGCAATGCCTTCGCGTATGCATGGCATCTACCAGCTTCACGGCCAAGAATTCGAATATCGATCGGCAAAGCCTTATCATCGTGCTCCATAAATTCTGCGAGGTTCAGCAGAATTCCAAGGAGATCTGGCGTAATATGAGGCGATTTAACGGCTAGCTCAATATTCTGAATGAGATCATCTTGGTACTGTTCAAAGAGGTCGCTCCAGCAAGAGACAAATGCAGAATTGAACAACTCCTTTGCAAGAGGTGGATAGGTGCTTGCCAGACTTGCACAGGCCCTCAGCGCATGATTTGGTGACTCCATAAGGACAGTTACGCTGAATCTTCGCATCCACTCTTGCCAATCTTCTTTCGTTGACTTCCCCGCGGCATCCCAAGCAGTCTTCAGATGCACTGGGTTCGAGTCAAGCTTTTTATTGCTGATATCAGAGAACGGGGCCTCGTCAATTTGGTTGTAGTATCGTTCTTCTGGGCTTAGATCCTGTGGGAGAGGCTCGCCTTTTTGCAACTTGGTAACAAGGAGATCGTAGTTTTGGTGCGTTATCTGATGGGCAATAAGCACTTTCTTGATTGTAGAGACAAAGTGGAGGTAGTCTCTTCCAAGCTGGAATATCAATGCGCAAAGAGTGTCCAGTGCTGCAAGCCTCAGAGATGGATCGGACCCCCCCAAGACTCGTGCCAGAGGATGGATAATTTTTGAGGCATAATCATTAAGATTGACTTGACGAGAGATCTTGCCGATAGCATCAATTGCGGATTTCCGAATAAAAGAAGGCTGTTGTGGCTTTTCAAAAACCTTCACAATGACGGGAATGATTAGGTGCATGTATTCTTCACTGCTCGATCCGAAAACCAAGAACGCGTGCAGGACCTTTTCGGATGGCTGTCGACGGGTTGAAGTGTCCTTCTCTAAAACACCAAGCATGAGTGGAAGGAGACTGGCAAGGTAGATCTTAAATTCCCCTTCGAGAGAGCGAGCAATGGCTTCCACAAGCTGGAGGATAGTAGCTTGTAGTGACGGAGAAATATTCCAGTATTCTTGCAAAACTTCGACAATGTCCGGAAGATAATTTCGAATATGCTGGCGAACAATAGTGACAAGAATAGCAAGTTGATTAAAGTAAGATTCAAGCCGGTTCGCTGGCGAGGCACGGATTACCGATATAAAGGCAGGAATAATCTTGTCGAGAAATGAGATACACTCCAAACCCAAGGTTCTGAAAATATTCATAATCGCTTCGATTACAACGGCGTGATGTTGTACAAGGGACTGGTCCTTCAAGATTTGTAACAAGGCGTTGATGACAACTGTAGGATAGTACTCCTTGTTCGATGGTGTAAGCCCAGTCATCATTAGGGATATGTCGGTCATCTGGTTGGACTCCGACCGCAATTGCATCTCAGGGGATTTTTCTTCCACTTGCTGCTGCTTATACGGATCCAATGCTCCGAGAATACCGATTAACTTGATTGTTTCTTGTCGCAGCGGGCCTCTCTGAGACTCCCCCCTGATCACACCTTGCAGTATCTCCAGCAACTGGGGATATTCCATGTATGGCTTGATGACATAACCAGAGTTACTGGCAAGTTGGCCTAGTGTTTTCAATGCTGCTTCTCGCTTTTGTGACGAGCTTTGGTCCTGAAGGGCCTCGAGAATAATTGGCATGAGCTGGTCGATATATGGTATCATATCTTCACCACCAACGGTAGCAAGCTCGCCGATAGCCTTTAGAATCGTTGCAGCAACTGCCGGACTTGGATCTCTAGCCTTCGGCAGTAAAACTGAAATCATTGGGTCCACATAAGGCTTGATTAGCCTTTGGGAGTTTTGAACCAAAAGGCTCAATAATTTCGCGCTCTCTTCCTTGTTTCGGGCAACATCAGAAAACTCTAACTCGGTCAACATCTGGATGAGGACTTTTCGCAACGAGGGAACCACATAGGCTGGGTTCACAAGTGTGAGGCGGCCAATAATGGTGATCGCCACTTCTCGGATAGCAAAGACTTCATCGTTGAGGGCAAAGAACAGTGTACGGATATTCTCCGACTTCGCAAGATGCCGATCGAACCTTTCATCCAAAGCGGCCAGTACTGTTCGTCGAATTTGCGGATCTGGGTCTGCAACTCCAACAGTGAGCAATTTCTCAATTACTTCGTTGACTACCTGGATTGCATGATAGCTGGTCTGGTTGACAATCGGATCCCGAATATAAAGCTGGCAACACGTTAAAGCCGCTGCCTCTCTGATTTCAGGGCTTTCGTCCTCGACATATTTGATAGCGACATCACGGACGAACTCATTGAGCACGTGGCCTGAAAAATCAAAACTGCCCAAGGTATTTAATGCCAGCTTAATCTCGGCCTGGCGATGCTCATAGGCCTGTGGGTCCTTTGAATCCTTCGATACAATTGGCACTGCAGCAATACTGTTCGGGGTTGGTGCTCCAAGAGGCTTGAAGGGCTCCCCACATAGAATGTTGCTGAGCATATCAAGGAGCCTCTCCTGAATGATAGATGTGACAGGTGGTATATGAAAGGCCATATCCACCAGAGCTTGTGTTAGCTTTGGCGTCAGCTCGCAAGCAAATATAGGGTCCAGGAGGGCCTCCATATATTTGCTGAGAGTCTGACCAACTGCTGCGGCCAACCTGCTGATGCAGTCGAACACAGGGTCCACGCTGCCACTTCGACGAGATTTAAGGCTTAAACCCTCACGAACATAAATAAGAACACCATCGAGATATGGCGCGATCGCACTCTTAACTGCATTGGCGATGTTACCAATAGCCAAGAATGCGTCGTTTCTCTCCTTGTCTTTCTTGAGCATCCCAGACAGGAAAATCATAAACTTGTGGAGATAGGTTTGTGCAAAGTCCGTCGGAGAGTAGTTGGCTAATTCGGGTATTAAGAGCACCACGGTACGGCGAATCACAGGTTCGCGGTGGTCCTTCATTTTGAAAACGATCTCGCATGCCTCCTGGTAATGTTCATGCATGAACATGCCCCCTTGTTGAAGTAGCTCTTTGATAACCAGTAGGGACCCGTGAATCGACTCGACCGTCCCCATTTTGATTCCAACGCGTGATTCCTCGTATATCATCGATTGCCATTGCAGTCTCCTAGCCTGCTCTCTTTCCCGGATTATTTGGAAGTAGGCGCTAATAGCCTCCGCAGCTGTTTCTCGAATAAGGAGTCGTATATCCCGCAGGCCAACCCAGATAAGGTCGAAAACATGCTGTACATATGCATACATGAGGGTTTGCGCATTTCTACCCAACTCTCTCAGTATGAGGACGGCACTGTAGCGACGTTCCTCGACACGATCCGATTGTAGCCACTCTAATGCGGTCTTCACCTCACTCTCTACCAATTCGGATATCAATGAGCCTCCAGGTCGGCATAATCTCCCCAGCGCCACGGCTGCCGGCTGCATAGCAACGAGATCTTTACTCCTGAGCACACTCCTCAGGGATTGGGCGAATCGCGTTGTTTTCTGAGCTGCATCGACGCCATTGAAATCGATGAGTGCATCAAGGGCCATGACGCCGCCCAGGCGGTCGATAGGATCGTTTCCATGGCTTATTAATTGTGTTATTTTTCCATTGACGACATTGTAGAATTCGATAAAGCGCTCCTGTGGAAAGTCTGCCTTCTATTAGCTAAAGCCAACAACCGCGGCAATAGTAGTGTACCTCTCGCACTAACCACCACCAAGTCCTGGAGCTCTATCGCAGCTCGTTTCCGTACATCTTCATTTCTAGTTTAGTTAGCTCTGTGCCAACATGGAGACGTTAGGCGTTGGGCTCACCGAGAACGTAGCTCTCCCACTAATCTATTCAGCACGTCTACTGCTTGTTGCGACATCTTCCAGAGTACTGCTCCCTGCGAGCGCCTTAATTAGAATGTGAAGTCGCCATCCATAAGCGCTACTCAAAAGACGTTGAATGTTCAAATATGGCGCCTGAAGGAGTATGTTGTTCGTGGCGTCTTGAGATTGTTTGTTTCGGTCGTCGGGTATCGTCTTGTGATTCCAGCTAGGTCGATTCGATAAACGGATGTCCCCAGCCCAACATCCCTGCAAGTCATGCATTAGCGGCAATTCGATAAGCCTTGTCATATTTGGAGGAGAGCCTCGACCTACATTTACGGACAAACTTCAATCGCCACAACACATATCCACCTCATATAAGGCACTTTAAGATGGGTAACGACGGAGGCAGGTATGTACACTGCAAATACAAGTGCTAGTAATTTAATTTCTGACTGAATATAGTATTCCAACACGACGAGAGCTCGTCAAGAATGCGGCGCGCGACCCGACCACCACTGACGCGAAGGCGACACAGCTCGAATCGCAAACTCACGCTTGGACATATTGTCCTCTTTCCCAACGACCTTTGTCTACCCCTATAGTCTCAGATTGCGCCGGTACTTTATATAATAAAGATGCAATTATAGAACACCTATTACCCAGCGACGACTCTTCACCAGAATCAAAGAGCGACCATGAGAAGGTTCTTAAAGGGCGCGTAAAATCGATGCGAGATGTCGTCGAAGTCAAATTCCAAACCGCGAAGGACGAGGTGGCAAAATCAGAGATACGACTATGCCCTATTACAAGCAAAGAGTTAGGCCCAACAACAAAATCTGTGTATCTTGTACCTTGCGGACATGCATTTGCGGAGGTGGCAACCAGAGAGGTGGCGGGAGTGGCCTGCATGGAGTGCAATGAGCCGTACGTTTCAGAGAACATTATCACAATACTACCCACCACAAAAGAAGATATTGGAAGGCTTGACGAGCGCATCAAGAGCTTAAGAGACTCGGGTCTGACGCATTCATTAAAAAAGGCTCCGGGGTCAAAAAAGAGGAAGAAGCACACAGAGATGGAGACTAAAGAAACAATTGAGAGGCCAAACGAGGATAACGGAATCAAATTTAAGGATGGCGTACAGTCAAAGATACGGGCAGGAACACCACATGATGTCTCTTCAACTTTACAACTTAAGAACGGCTCCTCGGCTTCAGCTGGCAGGATAAAAAATGCCGCAACTGCAAGTCTCACCGCAAAGGTTCTAGACGAGCAAGGAGAAAGGAACAAGCGGAGAAAGCTTGGACTAAACGATAATTTGAAGAGTTTGTTTTCAATTAGCGGGCCTAGCGAACTCAAGGGCGCTGGGGATTTTATGACTAGAGGATATTCAGTACCGAAGAGGACATAGGTGTTTGAATGACTTTAATATTATAAGACAAGTCTTATGCTTTATTTCTGCCCCCATTTTTTATCGATACAAGTCTGAGCAAAGAATTGGCCTCATAAGCATTCTCGATCGACCTTATCCCACTCCAGTTCCCACACATTCTGATTTCGTGTTTTAGCCTACAGGACAATGGTTTCTCTATGTCGCCCATAAACCGCGCGGAGGCTCCTGCGGAGCTCCCAAAAAAATATCCACATGAACCGTGGTCCATACCGTGCGCAGTTCCAAATAGCAATAGCAACCTTTTTGAGAAATGGCCCTCTTCGACCTGCGAAAGTAGCGACTACTTCAACTATTACCACCACCAGAATCTGTTCAATTCTTGCCAGAAACCGGTTCCACTTCCTACATGCCCAGAGAAGGTAATAAAAAAGGCGGGTGCAACAGAATTTCAACACTATTTCGGGGATAGCGCAAAGAACCTCCCTGAACTCTCTGGAATCTCTGCTTCTTGGTCCGTAAATCGTATTCAACAACCAGAAAGCCCAAATATGCTTAATGCACCATTCAGGCTCCCCGACCTCTCCCCATCCTATCAAGGTCCAGGCAACTGGTGGTGGCACAGGTAAATCTGACGGAGTCACTGGTGGTCCTGGTTGCTCAAGCGGTGAGGCTATCGTTTCCAGGTTGCTCACAACCGCCGCGGTAGTATCATTGGCGAGGAACAGCTTCTGCCATATGCGCTGTGCATAGCTACTGACGAAAATAAACATTTGAATTGCCCCGGAAGCCATTGAATTGGCCCTAATCGCTATCTTAATTGCGCTTTGACTTCAGAATTGAATTCCTGATAAATCCCCTTGCGCCTATTCATGCCCGTCCAACTCCTGAAATAAGAAAAAGCCGTTATCACGGTCAAAGAATATCAACTACTTCGTTGTGAAATCAGTCTCGAGGGGGTTCACTTCTCCGTCCGTAGCTTTCTCGCATGAACAAGCATCTGCTACACGTTAGCACTAAGTAAATCAGATATAACGGGGCAACTTACCAGCTGGGCGGACACCACATGCGCATGTAGGGCCGGTGGGAGTTTTGTTCTCGGTTGAAGCGCGGTCACAAGTGCATGCGCCGGCTGGTCTCGCGCCTGGAGATTGTATCAGCTTCCGTAAATTACAGTTGCTTTGTGTCCGCATAAGACGTTCAGCATCTGTGGTTGCATCTTGCTTTATGGGACTTGAAGGCCGCAGAAAACAAGTTTTGTTCCATAATACAGAGCCAGAGATGATAGATTTAGGGTATGACTTACGGCATGAACAGCGAGGTCCCTCAACTTTATTTTCTTCCGAGGCCTTGCTGCAGTTGCACTCAAGAGCATGCTTTTCGCCACAGGAACATTTTGCTTGAGCAGCTACAACACGTTAGTAAAGTTGAGCCCAAGTTGATGTAGGCTCGCTCCTACCACAGATACAGCCTTGCACGCTCTTGTGGCAACAGGTGGTGGATTGAACGGTTTCGGTGGCCATTTTGACGATGTTTGGCTGTTATTATTGAAGGCGAAGTAAATAAATCTATTATGACTGGAGAAGGAATTTTCTGATTTCTGGATTTAATGGTTTGGAAAGTTAATACTCTTAAGGAAGTGGTTGTTCTCGTCCTTTATAAGTCCAAGTTATCAGCCTTGCATGACAATGATTTGATTTACCTTAATCCTGATTGGCTGAAATGCAAGCTACTGGAAGCAGCTGTAGGTAACAGTAAACAGTAAATCAGTTACACAGCAATCCTGATTGGGGAAGCTCCCTTACGTCGTTAAGAGGTTCAGAGAGGCTGAGGATGTTTGTCATATTATATGGTACATACAATGTTTAATGAGGTATCTGTGATTCGTAAACGCCGAAATGTCCCACCCATATCTTATACCGCCCAAGTTTATGTCCCCCCATATCTTACACTGCCCAAGCCTATGCTCAGAATTTGCTCTCCTTGTATGGGTATCTTGGTTCGTCGTCTTTCCTGTACCACAACTGCTTCTTCTTCTTGGTTGGGACATGTTCTACCCAAATCTGCTTCGTATGTTCCTTCATGAACCGCCTGATGAACCTTGGATCCCACAGTTCGCTGGCTACGCCGAGATCCTTGCAGCACCGCATCAAGGCGTTTGATTTGCAACCTTCCGTAGCCGTAGGAATGCCTTCCGGGGAAAAGTAGGCCTGCTCGCCGCGGGCAACAGAAACCAGTCTATAGAATATCAACCCTTGCCCAATCTCAGTAACGTTGTCCAGACAAACCTTCCATGCGCCACAAGTGCGTATTCTCTTGTAATGCTCTTCGGTGTTACAATTGTCTCTCCTCGAGGGGCCAGACCCCAGCCTCCTGGGCCGAACGCCCTGTTCAATATCCGTCGATATTTGATCTCCGGTAGATATACAATTCCGTCCGGCTTGACCTCCACATCGTCAGTGGGTATTTCGGCAAGTAAAATATCTGCAGCTTCTTTCGAAAATGGCTGAACAGATAGACCATGGAAAGACTTCGCCCAGTCAACCTGTCGACTGCCCTCATCAAGACTGAGCGGCTCGTCTGCCAACCCTGATGTTATGTCGTCTATTGGCGACTGGTCATCTATAGACGCTGGCTTGCTGGCCCCATTCGTTTTCGGCGCACTTCCATTTCCCTCTCCATTTGTTGGCTTGCAGTTGTAGCTCGTTCCTGGCGTCGCAACTCGGACTTGTGAAGCGGAGAGGAATCGTTTAGCTCCGGACAGGCGTACATTTCGTGTTGGGTTCGACGATTGTAGGAGACAAAGGCTTGATGACTGTCTGAGACAGCGCCCAGTAGCTATCCTGACTCCCGACATATCTGGTGGTTGGAAGTAATAGCGATTGGTGTCGTTACGAGTTCTAGATCCTGTTCGCGACATTTGCCTAGTATCCTTGTAATAAATAGCCTCACGACTTGAGCCGCAACACCATTGGAACCATCAAACCCACCAAAACTACACACATAGATTGGAGTTTGTCTATTTAATAATACAATAATAATATATACATTTACTGATGTACAGCCGCCTTTTTGTCGAGCTCAATATGCACTTCCCTACGCATCCTTCATACTTGTCCTCTTGTCATTGCTCTGTTTCTTCCAACAGAGCTTGAAGTTGTCGAGCTTTAAAGAGGGTATCAATTAGCCACGCACTTGACAATTGTAGAGTCCCGGTTACTCGGGTGCGGAACCGCTTAGATATCTGAAAGGGAAGGATTTGCGGTTTACATACCTCCTCTTTACACTGTCGCCAGTCTTTCTTTTCATAAAAGCAATCATTCATCTTGGTATTCTCAGCTGTTGGGATTGTGAGCTATATCGTCCCAAATAAGACATCTAGTTTGACCACATACTGGCGCAGCCTGTGCTGAAGATTCTCTTGTCCCTACAGAGCAAGGTTAGCGTTGGGGACGGCTTTTGGCGGCTTTAGTTCCGTTTACCACTCATCCGGCTCATCATCATCAACTGCCGCATTGATTACTTTGTTTTTATCCCCCAAGTTAGACATCGTGTTGGAGGTTGTGGATGTTCTTTGGGCAGTCAATTTTGTTGAGAATACAACGTTCTCGCCTGAGTGCCACGGATTAAAACCACCGCCTCGGCTCCGAATACACGAGGTAATCTGGTTGCTGAGAAGATGGTTACCAAAAAAATGAACGTCCTGGTGTACTCTGGTATGTTTAACAAACCAGTAAATAGCTATCTTGCCTAGGCTTGTACTGAAATGATAAACAGGCACGGGAAGCACAGATGGGGCAGTCCGTCACGCTCTTTGCACACTGAGGCTGCTTCTTTCCCCGAACTACGCCGTCTTTCCTGTATCAGATTCCGTGATTATCAAAGAGCCATGGACATCATCATGTGCTCTTCTTGTCTTTCCTGGCGGCGCAGATCTTGGGTATTGCCGAGTACTCAATGGCGAAGGCAATGACCGTATTAGTCAATATGTGCGAAGGGGTGGCTCATATCTTGGGTTCTGTGCCGGTGGCTACTATGGAAGCGGGAGGTGCGAATTCGAGGTGGGAGACAAGAAAATGGAAGTCGTCGGGAAACGCGAATTGTCATTCTTCCCGGGCATCTGCAGAGGATGTGCGTTCAAAGGCTTCGTTTATCAAAGCGAAGCTGGAGCATGTGCTGCAGAATTGACTGTGGAGACAGAATCGTTCGCTGGGATAGACTGCCCAAAGTCTTTTAAGTCCTATTATAACGGCGGTGGAGTCTTTGTAGATGCTGCCAATTTCAAGTCGGGGGGTGTTGAAGTACTGGCCACATATTCCAAAGACACGGATGTTGACGGGGGAGACTGTGGAACGAGGGCGAGGGCTGCTGCAGTATTCTGTAAGATAGGCGACGGATGTGCAGTGCTTACCGGGCCTCATCCAGAGTATGTCAAGCTCAGATTCTTGCATGGCACATGCTAACAGTGGTAGATTCGCGGCGGCAAACCTAGACGCCAAATCGGGCGGGCTAGACTATGCCAAGATGATTGAGGACTTGGTTGAAGGCGACAACCTCCGAGAAAGCTTCATGAAAGCATGCCTGACGAAAATGGGACTCCTTGTTGCGATAGAGACAAGCACGGTGCTACCAGTACTTTCTGCCCTTCATATTTCTTCTCTTCATAATGTCGAGGTTTCTGAGCTATTTGACGATCTGAAGAGTGATATAACGCTTGAGGAGGGAGAAAGTTTCGTAAAAGGAGGGAACGATACATTTCTCGTTGAAAAGAATGGCTCTCCTTTATCGTTACATTCTCTCGGCGTTTCTCTTCCAGGAGCCAGCTCAGAGGCTAAGGACGAAGCAGGAACTGATCAGCTTCGTAGTGGCCAGGGCGAGAAAAATATCGATTATAACAAGGTCATAAAGCGTCTGGTATTCCATGATGGTGGATGGCCTCAGAACACTGAGACTCCGCATTTTAACCACGACATGTTCTACTCGGAACTTGTCGATTACCAAGATGAATTAGGTAGTCGAGCAGAAGACTTTGGCAAGGTCATCATGTATGGTGATGTTGTTACCAGTACAAATACTTTGTTGGAAAAGTGCGTTCCCACAAAAATTCAATGACCACTACTAATAGCTACGTGCAGGAACCAGAAGCTTTTATCACACCTCCCAAATGGCTTCACCGCAACAGCAACAGCTCAAGTTGCCGGCAGGGGTCGCGGATCAAACGTTTGGGTTTCACCCGTTGGATCATTGATATTTTCCACCTGCATCAGGCACTCTCTAGAATTGTCGGCCAAGGCCCCTGTTATCTTCGTCCAATATCTTGCTGCCATCGCTATTGCGGAGGGGATTAAAACTTATGGCAAGGGATACGAAGATATCCCCGTGAAGCTTAAATGGCCCAATGACATCTGTAAGTACAATAAATGCCAGCTCTTGAGAACAGTATTGATAATTCTAGATGCTCTGGACCCCACAAAACCAGGAAATAAGGAATATGTAAAGATTGGTGGAATTCTAGTGAACTCTTCGTACTCCTCTGGCAATTATAACCTTGTGGTTGGCATTGGAATCAACACAACAAATGCTGCTCCAACAACCTCCCTGAACGCACTACGGCCGCAACACCTCCCAGAGTTCACCATCGAAAAGCTCCTTGCTCGAATTTTGACCAAGTTCGAGGACATATATATCAAATTCTGTCGGTCAGGGTTCGATAAGAAGCTAGAGGAAACATACTATAAGCTATGGCTCCATAGTGAGCAGATCATTACGCTGGAAGCTGAAGGGGGTGTTAGAGCGAGAGTGCTCGGAATCACCAGAGACTGGGGATTTTTGCGGGTCCAGGAGCTGGGTTGGGAGGATAAGCCCACTGGGAAGATCATCGAATTGCAAACAGACAGCAACAGTTTTGACTTTTTTAGAGGTCTTGTCAAGAGGAAGGTATAGGTCTTTCATATTTTAGACGCCAGCGTTTGCAAATTTTCTGGCTACCCACGCTCCTCCGTGTTCCTCATACTCCTGCTTTGTAACTGAGAGCTTGCTAAGCAATGCCTCATCGCGTGCCAGGTTTGCTCCACCTTGCCAGGTGCTTACAATCGGGCTTGGGTTGGTCGGTCGGGCAAGGCGAACCATACACTCAGCAGGTGCAAGTGCCATAATCTCAGCCTGTAGACGATGTATAAACCCGTCGATATTTGCATTGCCTCCAACAACAACGACGTTTGCCAGAAGCCCAGGCCAAAGCCCAATGGGCAAAACAGAAAGACTTTGCATCACAACTTGCGCAAGTCCAGGCTGTCGCAGGCCGATATCCATAGGATTGAATAGCAGTTCCGGGACCGTAAATCGTTCATTTCTGAGTGTCAAAACATCCTCTGGGTTCTCCACCGCTTTGCCGGCTGCTATCTTCTTCAAGTTGCCTGCCAATTTAGGGTCATGGTCACGGAGGTATCCCTTTGTTATATTGTGGTAATCTGGTAGAACATAATCTTTTGCTATGCCCCCACCGGTCATGTAGCTTTCCCTCTTTTCGCCTTTAGTTCCTTTCCAAGATAGTTCCAGGTCAGTATTGAAGTCCTTGGTGACATAGCAAGCTGCCTCTTTAATTTCGTTCATTAGGTATGTTTCGTTTCGCATATCAAATTGTCGAAGGGACAACAGGCGAGTGAGGTAGTTCGTCATCAGCTTCCCTCCAACATCTAGTCGGCGAATTGCAGATTGTAGTGGACGACCCTGTAGTAACGGTGTGACTGTCGTATGAGAGTAACCAGAGTCGATGAGAAGAAGGACTTCGGCGGGAGCCACACGTGCCGTAGCATCGCGTGGCGGGGCCTTAAATATAGCCTGTATGTCGTTGTATGCATTAAGAGTCGGTCCTGTATGTAATGAGCTTCCATTCTAATCTGCAGCAGCTATTCGGAGGGGATAATTCATACCAAGAGCGCGATAATAAGACGCGAAGCCGAATTCCTCGAAAACCACTTGGTCGCAATTGGTCTGCAGCACCGGCAGGGAATTCGGCGCCTCAGTAAGAATGAGCCCTGTTTCTGATGGATCGCAGTGTAGTTTTGCTTTCTTATCAAAAAATTCGTGATCCCATATTTCCTTCTGGGCTTCCCAGTTCACGATGTAGCCTTTCTCGACAGGGCGCCTGAAAGCTATGTCGCCGAAATCCTTGCATTTCTCTAGCTCTGAGCCAATATAGACTTTTCGTTCGCGATCCCGTGCCATACAATTCGGTATTATATGACACCAATCTTGGGTCACTTCGATAGAAGGCGACGAGAAGCCCGCCTTGATGGTGAACGCGCCATTGTCGAGCACCAAGGTTTTGGACGGCGGCGGCGGGCCAGAGGACTTGGTACGGCGATGGGTCGGAGCCATGCTTGCGGCTATATAAAACTTATAATCTAGCCATATACCATCGCGTGGTCGTCATTGCTAGTGTTGACAAAGGTCTCAGCCAGCTCGTTGTTTCGTTGTCGAGAAGCTGGATGTTCAAGGTTGGCTTCTCGGGAACGCGGGGGGGTTCCGCTAATATTTTACCAGATCTTATCTGCCCCTCATAACTTTTGAAATTAAAACTAACACGACAACTACGAGTGCGAGGGCAACCACCCATTTTCTGGATAAAGATGGCGTCAGTTATCCAGAAATCAGAGGAGCCGCTGCTTGCTCTTAGAAGCACAGTAAAAACTGTATCGGCCCTCCTCGACCAGCTTGAAACGGCAATCAAAGCCTCGCCCGTGACGCAGACGGCCCCCGCCAGCGATGTTAACGCCTTATTTCTAGCTCACGATGCAGCCAAACTCATTTGCGCCCATTCGACGAAGCTATCTTTGCTAATAATCAATACTCCTTTCACGCCTTCCGCCATCGTCAAAGTCCTGCGCGAGCTGGCGGCCGGCCCACTTCCCTCGCTCGGAACTGCCGTTGAATTATGCGGGGCACATATATATTCAGATACAATGCAAAGGGAGTTACAGTGGAGGGTACGTAAGGTTTTTAGCGAGTTTAGAGTACTCCTCAAGGAGATTCCGCTGGATAGCAAGGTGTTAACGAATGACCAAAAGAATGGCACCGGGAAAACTGTGGGAAATGGCAGCTTGGCGTCTACGGGCGTGTTATGGCAGGCCTGTGATGATCTAGCGGAGCTGAAGAATTTGGGCATTGCGGGTGTGGTTGTGCGGAAGGCTGAGCAGTATCGGGATACCCTCAAAGACGCCATCGAAGAACTACAGGAATGGGGGGATGAGAGCGGTGACGAGGACGAAGGCGAAGATGCGAATACAGATGATGAGGCTGATGAAGCTATCCCTAACGCTGCTCAAGACGATATGGACGACTTTTTTGGGTCCACCATGCATATCCCAAGCGATGACCCCGACAAGATCCGCCCTCGTCTCGAGCTATTGCTGCGGAGGCTGAAGCTGATAGCAGTGATGTTCAGCGCCGTCATCAAGCGGCGATTCAAGACGCTATCCTCATTGACCTTGTCCGAGTTATCGACAGGAGGTTATCCTTTGACACAGGACAAACTGACGCCGCCGAAACCAGGCAGCGTTATAGCACCAGCATACCGTGTAGACGCCAGCGTGGATATCCTCCGAACCCTCACCGAGTTGGCCGACAACCTTGCCACTGCATTTTACGACCTCGACGCTGAGGCAATTGATGATGGGATGGACCAGTGCTTTTCAACCAGTCTTAGAGTAACTGAGTTATTATCCCAAGACTGGGCTGGGAAAGATGATGCATTTACCACTTGGGTGAGTACCGAGAGTTTCAGGATGTTCTGGCCATAGCTAATTTATTCCAGGCCCAAACCTTTAAGACAGAGATGAAGAAATGAAGCACGGCTTGGATACACTTAGACAGCGGCACCGTCGAGACAACGGCGTAGCTATTATATTTCGCAGCAAAGCATACGTGCGTCTGCAATTATAGGTGATGATGATATAGTGGAAACTATCGTCAGCTTGACTTCTATCTCAACCTCATGTTGGCCCAAGTGACCATGCATAGCTAGGAATTGATGTCCACAGCTCGATTTTTGAGTGACTGGTTACAGAGTTGCAGAAGACCGCTATGTGATCTGTACAGATAAATTTTGTAGGCGACACCTACAGATACTTCTTAGTATCTCGTCGACATCTATGCCAAAGCCCACGGGATGTTCAAATCCTCCTCCTGGCCCCTATTTTGGGGAAGACCCAGGTCTCTCCAAGCTAATGCAGTGGAAGATGCAAATGCTCTACGAGAAGGCTGTCTCATCTCACAAAGAAGATACTGTCGGACCAATTGCAACCGCCACAGGCCCGGCAACGGACTTATATCGCCCCATTACACCATAAGCCTTGAAGGCGAGGTGACGAGAAGCAGTGGCGGTGAGAAAGACCGGTGATGTGAAAGCTTCGAGGAAGCTGCGACAGAGCGTGCTTGGTAATCGTTCTTGCCATATTTAAGCTTGAAAAGCTTCAAGGAAGCTGCTTAGTAATCGTTCTTTCCATATAGGGATTGAAAGTTCTAAGGAAGCTGCGACTGAGCTTGCTTGGTAATCGTTCTTTCCATATTTAAAGGTTATAAAGCTTCTTCAAGAAAGGTACGACGGGCCGCGACGAGAACTGAATCCCGTTCGAGAATGCAGAGTTTCAAATATCAACTGCTCCTACCAGTCCGTGCTGCCAGCTATGCGGGTACTCCTCGTCTTAGCTGCTCAGATACTTTAAGGGATCTGTGCTGCGGCGGTGGTGTCTGCCCTCTTCCTGGGACCTCTCAATGTGGAAACAGGGCCGGGCGGAGGAGCATCGATAGTCTGCCCAAACAATGATCTTTGACGCAAGTTGTCTGAGATCTGCACTACATAGTGTGGCTCAATGTTGAGCTTGCTCTAGTCATTGCTGTATGTGTTGCGTGATGCGAGATTCGTGTCGAGGATGCTTCATGTGCCTCACTGCTCACAATCGATATACGATTGTTCCGAACAAGTGGAGCCTGGTTTTCAATCCAATATTAATAATACTATGGTACATATTATCTAATATACAATCTATTTATTCCGTTCATATAGTGGTGTCTGAGGGAAAACCTGCTGTCATAAGGGGCGCCCCCTACCCATACCAGACGTACTATCCTGAATACTATAGCCCAAAATATACGAGTGCTGGGAGGCGGCTTTGGCACCACTCAGTTTAATCCTTTAAACAAAACACTTCGTCGGTCTTTGATATTAACGAGCGTATATTCAGCCAAGCGTGGGTCGCCCCTTTCGATTCTCATAGTGGTATATAGCAGGTTCGGCTCTGTCCAAACAGGGCGTAACCCGCGGGCTTCGAGGGTTTCCCACCTATAGTTCACTTAGAACGGTAGCCAGTAGCCCGAAGGCAAAAAGCACTCACCACTGCAAAAAGTTGTAGGCGGTCATTTCTTCGTGCCCGAAAAGATGTAATTCCACCATTAGTTGACCTATTGGGAGCTCAAAGCCTTCGCCCTCGGGGAATGCCCGGTCAAGCGAGCTTAATGAGGCAAATTCGGCGTATTCGATGTCCATTTTTAAGATATCACTTTCAGCCAATAGTCAGTCTCAATCCATGGCATCGGCTCATTGAGGAGAAGAGATCCTGGTTATGGCATGGGAAGATACTCACATATAATCGTGGCCATTCGTCTTCATAAGGTCTTGGATAGTATAGAATGGGGGAAATGAAGTGGCATTTGTGACACCTGAAATGCCAGCCTGGGTGAAGTGTGCACGCGCCCTGTGCTCATAGCTTAATTGCTTGCCAAAATTCGTCACCGAGTAGTCATAGGCCCAAATTTCGCAATTCGTTCGCTCGATCGTCTCGTCTTCTGAACGTAGAGCAGCCTCGTTAGCATGCAGGGGGGCGCTTTGAGCTGTACTGAGGGGGTTGACTTGCCATAGCTAGACTCGGTCTGAACACCGAAAGAGTAGATGACACAAGGACGAGTGGCCGGCAGTTCTTCATATTTTGACATCCCACACACCCACTTTCCTCCATCACCCATTCGTCCTATTCTCTCCATCTCGTATGGGCAGCTCCATGAGGCGGGGGCAAAGTCCCAGATGGAATATGGCGATCCTGGGTATTTCTTTGGGGAATCGGCGGGGAATCTGAATCTCGTCAGTGGATGCTCTGGTGCGTATATGCGATTGAGAATGGACATACAATGGCATATTCTCCGGGTATTGCCATTCCGCGAGCAGATTATGTCTCTGCTCTACTGTCTTGCTCCAGATCTTCTCCGCCAAGCGCATATGACCCCGTAATGACACCCGCGCGACATCGTGGCTGAGGACTGAGGATGTTGAAAGCCAGCTTAGGGATCCGCCAGTTCCATAGCCTGAGAGAAGTGTTATAACGAAGATAGCGAATGCAACTAGCAGTATAAACCGGAGAGGCCTTGTTGCAAGCATGACGGGTGATCGCTTGGTGTACCTGGCTAGCTATCTGTTGCCAAGAGTGCGGGGAGAAGATATTCCAAACGGCGACTGCATAGAGCGAGAAACTGCTTCATGGGTACGATCCGGGGATATTGAGCCAGGAACCAAAGCAAGAAACTCGCAATTAGAGATGATTCGATGCGCACAAAACAACCATGTCGAATGTCGAATGTCATTTGGAAATACGAGTATTGTTGACTGGCGCCGTAGGCGCCGGTTTGTAAGCAGCCGCCGGCCGTGAAGCCACGTTAGCACGTGATTGGGCGTTAGTCACATGACCACGGCGCGTAAAACCCAGTAACGGAGGTCGTGGCCAGACCACTTTACTAACCCCACCAAAATCTAGAGCCAAGAACACCAAACCACCAGCTTCAAAAAATCGAAATTATTCAATCACTACCAGCCTAATTCATCTAAATAACTATCATATGGCTCTTGTTCATCTAATTCATCCATTTCCTTAATTTCAACTTTATCTAAGGGTGGTTAGGCTACCTTTTGTAATTGTAACGACACAGGGCACCCAGCTCACAGTAATAGCATATGAGAGTGCGAGTCGGAGGCTAAACGGATGCTATCCTATAGGTCTACTACGAAGGATACAAAAAAGATGAAGGGGGAACCCCGTTGAGTCTGTTTCCTTAAGTACCCGAAACGGGCCCGACTTATCCCAACCCTAGCCCTGAACCTTCCACCGCAACAGGTCTGCATCGACCCTGAACCATACACCCTTACCGTCCCCCACTATAGTGTAACTGGCTATGTGTTCCTCTACTGGTTCAAAACCCCACCGAGTCGGATTCCATGCTTGTAGTGACCGTAACAGTTGTGAGACAGGTTCTTCGAGTATCTAGGTACGGAGGCATCCTTACAGTAATGGTGGGTGCACCAGATGTGAGAATCTAGCCACCCAAGGAAGGGATGATTTTACTAAGACAACACACTGTCTTAGGAAAAAGAGCCAAAGGGTTGTAGCTTAGACTATTCCACAACGCAGCAATCAGGTGTATGATATAGTGGAGTGGTTTAGACAAGTTGTAACAAATGTTGAGTCTGAGAACTCAGGGATAAGTCAGAGGTTAGCACCTTACTGACTTTTCAGAAACAAAGAATAACAAGATCAATGCTTGGAAGCTTGGAAAAGACGTAGAAGTATGTGATAGTCGATTTACTGTATTGTCTGCTTGCCCTTTCTTAAGGAAAGGGCAATCCTATTTATGCTAAAGGAGTGTAGTTCTCTTATTTTCCAAGACTTTCCATGACTAACCAGGCTTGGTAACTGTAGTCGACGTAAGAAAATTCCATAGAACCATCTCCTAGGTTCCTAGCCTATAGGAAGTGAAAGGAGGTCCAAGGTCAGAGTACCCCTATAGACAAATTATGTCATAACTTAACCAATCTTGTGGGTAACTAAAGAGTGATGACGTGTAATGAATCATAGAAGTTCGTAGGAGCTTTTAGAGCTATCGTTCATGCTCCTAGGCCTCTAGTTGGTAGAGATATGTCATGTGGTAGTATGAGTGATGTCATGTAATGAATTATAGAGGGTTGTAGAGATATGCTATGTGGTCATATCGGCCCAGTAACTAAGGAGCAATGACGTGTAATGAATCATAGAGGGTTATAGCAATCGTTGAGTAGTATTGCTCTTGTTGTTGGTGTGACAAGCCAAAATATGTATAGTGACTTGTAGGTTTGAGGAGGAGATTTCTAAGTTTACTCTTGAGTTTGATAGCAAACTGAGTGCAACGAATGTCAGTATGACAGTTCTGTGTGTTCTACCAGCGGTTTATAAGAAGCTACTCTACTATTATGAAGCCACTGGTAAATCTCACAAAGAAAGGTCAAATATTCGAATGGAACCAAGTTTGCCAGGCAGCCTTTGAGTTGATTAAGAAGACTGTTACAAAAGCACCCATGCTACAACACTTCGACCGGGACAAAACAGCATATGTGGAAGCAGACGCCTCAGACTATATATCCTCGGGAGTTCTTTCACAGAAGGACAGCCAAGGAGTACTACACCCCATTGCCTTCTTCTCAAAGAAAATGACACCTGCTGAGTGCAATTACGAGATCTATGACAAGGAGCTACTGGCCATCATTAGATGCTTCGAAGCATGGAGACCAGAAGTTGAAGTCACAGCAATGCCAGTACAAGTTTTGTCAGACCACAAGAGTCTTGAATATTTCATGAGCACAAAAAAGCTTACTAGGCGGCAAGCTCGATGGGCAGAATTCCTCTCACGATACAATTTTCAAATCATATATCGACCTGGCAAGCAGAACGGAAAAGCAGATGCGTTAACTCGAAGACCAGGAGATAGACCAGAAGGGAATGAAGAAGATGACTGTCAAAAACAACAGCTTCAAACCCTATTACCCCTTGAGAGACTCCATCCGGATCTCGCACAGCAGCTAGAACTCAAAAGTCAAGGGCAGGCACAAGATGCTCAACTTACACCAATCCTACCACAAGATCAAAGCATCCATGACCAGATTCAAGCTGGCAGCTCCAGGATGAATTATGCAAGGATACAATCCGAAGACTACAGAACAACGAGCGAGATAGCCCAAATATAGCCTTAGCACATTGCGAAGAGAGAAATGGACTCCTACTCTACCAAAATCAAGTTTGGATCCCAGAAGACGTCCGAGTTAAACTCCTTCATGAGGTTCACGACCAGCCAGCAATGGGACACCCTGGAATTGGGAAGCTGATTCGAATCATTAAGAGACAGTACTACTGGCCCCGGATGGACAAGACTATCACTCAATATGTGAGGAATTGCCATACCTGCAAGAGATCTAAACCAACCTGGGATGCATACTGTCATACTGACATTCGTTGCACTCAGTTTGCTATCAAACTCAAGAGCAAACTTGGAAATCTCCTCCTCAAACCTACAAGTCACTATACATATTTTGGCTTATCACACCAACAACAAGAGCAATACTACTCAACGATTGCTACAACCATCTATGATTCATTACACGTCATCGCTCCTTAGTTACTGGGCTGATATTACCACATAGCATATCTCTACAACCCTCTATAATTCATTACATGACATCACTCATACTACCACATGACATATCTCTACCAACTAGAGGCCTAGGAGCATGAACGATAGCTCTAAAAGCTCCTACGAACTTCTATGATTCATTACACGTCATCGCTCTTTAGTTACCCACAAGATTGGTTAAGTTATGACATAATTTGTCTATAGGGGTACTCTGACCTTGGACCTCCTTTCACTTCCTATAGGCTACGAACCTAAGAGATGGTTCTATGGGATTCTCTTACGTCGACTACAGTTACCAAGCCTGGTAAGTCATGGAAAGTCTTGGAAAATGAGAGAACTACACTCCTTTGGCATAAATAGGATTGCCCTTTCCTTAAGAAAGGGCAAGCAGGCAATACAGTAAATCGACTATCACATACTTCCACGTCTTTTACAAGCTTCCAAGCATTCATCTTGTTACTCCTTGTTTCTGAAAAGTCAGTGAGGTGTTAACCTCTGACTTACCCCTGAGTTCCCAGACTCAACATTTGTTGCAACTTGTCTGAACCACTTCACTACATCACACACCTGATTGCTGCGTTGTGGAATAGTCTAAGCTACAACCCTTTGGCTCTGTTTCCTAAGACAGTGTGTTGTCTTAGTAAATTCATCCCTTCCTTGGGTGGCTAGATTCTCACATCTGGTGCACCCACCATTACACATACAATGGACTCCTACAACCAATTCCAATTGGAAGCCAACCATGGAAGGACATATCACTCGATTTTATTACAGGATTACCATTATGTGAAGGCTTTGCAGGTAAAGAAGACACTACAGCAGAAGCTACAGCAAGGTTACTACTCCAGCATGTATGGAAACACCATGGTTTACCAAATTCCATCATCTCAGACAGAGGGCCCCAGTTTGTAGCTGCAGTGTGGAAAATCCTCTGCAAAGTTTGGAAAGTTACAATCAAATTGTCTACAGCATTCCACCCAGAAATGGACGGGCAAACTGAAAGGTTTAATGCAGAACTAGAGCGATATTTACAGGCTCATGTCAACTATCTCCAAGACAACTGGGTTGAATATCTTTGCATGGCTGAATTCGCAGCAAATGCCCTTCCATCAGACTCAACAAAAGTTAGCCCATTTTTTGCAAACAAGGGTTTCGAGCCAAGAATGAGCTTTGATATAGAGGATAGCACGTTCCAAACTGCCCTTCAAGAACATAAGGACATAGCTCAAAACATGAAAGATATTTGGGAATTCCTACAAGACCAGATCGGCCTCTCCCAAACCTGAATGGAGCACTTTGCAAATCAAAACAGGAAGCCAGCACCAAGATATAAGATAGGAGACTGAGTCTGGCTTTCTACTCGGAATATCAAAACCCAACGACCCTCAAAGAAACTTGACCATAAGCAAGTTGGTCCATTTCAAATCCTTGAGCGAATTGGGAATGTTGCATACCGACTCCAGCTACCACCAAGCATGAAGATACACCCTGTGTTTCATAACAACCTCTTACGACTTGACTCAGATGATGCTTTACAAGGCCAGCACCATGAACCACCCCTGCCAATCATTATAGAAGATGAACTTGAATGGGAAGTTGAAGAAATCCTAGATTCTAAACTCCTACGGAAGAAGCTGTTCTATATGGCAGCATGGAAGAACCACCCACTAGACAACACTTGGTATCCTGCTACAAACTTCAACAATGCACCTGAACTCACACAAGCTTTCCACCGAAAATACCCGCAGAAGCCACAATGATCTTACTCTTAATCAAAACCATATCAAAAGGATAATGAGGATAACGACAATGAGGATAGTGAAGATGACGAGGACGAGGATGTGCAACCTCCAATACGACGAAAGCAGCGCCGCAGAGAGTCTGACGTGACTGAAAACGCCACCCGCAAGAAGGTCCACACGCGCTCGTCCACCATAGCCCAAGCCCAGACCTGCACTACTCGAGGTCCTACAGTTTCTCGGAGTTCACCAGACGATGCGGAGTCAATTCTAGGCGCGGAATACCAAGAATATCCTCTTCAGGGCTTTCTCAAGTGTGTGAGGATCTGACGAGAGACAACTTTCAGGAGATCAATCTTACTAGGGGGGGGTTAGTGTTACGATTACAGCTCACAGCTTGTTACGGTTGTTATGGTTGTTGCAGTTGTTACAGTTGTTACGGTTGTTACAGTTATTACGGTTATTACAGTTGTTATGGGGATTACAGGTGTAGCCTTAGCCACAAGGTTACAACCGCTAAGCAGACAACTGTATGTTATGAGGAATAGCCTCACCTTCCTTCCTTCTACTTCTTCTTCTCTCTTTAGATTCAATCTAGATTACTTTTCCTGGACTGGCATCATGACCTCTATGACCATCGTAACAGGGGCCACTGGCAGCGTGCTTTCCAGGTCAGATGGCTGCGGCTGCTGCCATCTAAGGCTATTCGGAAAGCCAAACGAAGAAATAGGGGGGCCCTGGGGTATATTCGGTAGATTCAAAGGCTGGATAGGAGGCATATTGGCCTGGAATGTTGACTGGAATGTTGAATAGGGGGTATTCATACTGTAATTATTATATATAACGTGCATGTATAATGAAAGTGCCAAACAAGCGAAAGTGCCAAAATATCGCGACTACACCATAAGAATTGCGATAAATCCACCACAACAATATAAATTAATTAAAACTACTCGGAGTCCTCTTCCTCAGACCTGTCTATTACAATCTGACAAGTGCGCGCATTGTGTCCAGTCTCACCACACTTGCCACAGCGACGTGCATGGGTTTCTTCCCTTGGCTTCCGACCACTACTTGCCCTTATTTCTTGCTCTACTTGCTGCACAACGTCCCTCTCGTCCTGTAGCTCCTGTGCTACCTGTTGACTAAGTGATCCTCCTTGCTGTAGTCGTGTTTTTTTAGCTCTCCGGCGCTTGCTTAGCACTTCATTTGCCTGTCGCAGGTTTTGGTTCTCTGCTTTTAACAATGCTAATTGATGCATTATTTGCGATGCACCCTTTGTAAACTGGTCAACAGCTGCATAGATTGAGGTTGGAGAGCTATTTTGATGATGCGCAATTCAGTTTTTAATGAAAGTAGACTGTGATACAGCTTCAGTTGGGTTATTTGGTGTCTGAGAAACCCATGGTTGAGCGGTGTTTGGGCGAGAGGTTGGAGGTGTTGGCGTCTTAAACCTAAGGTCAAGTGTAGATATTACACTCTCAGGGCTAAATGGAAGAAGCCCAGCACCTCGGAACCCTCCCTGAATATTGCTTTCTGTCATTGCAATGTTAAATGCAGCGTGGAAGGCAGGAAAGAAGTCATCCTTAGTAATGTGAATAATATGAGCCCGCATCATATCTTCAATTTGCTGACCGTAAGCTCTCTTTAATGGGCCAAAACAGCCAACATCAAGTGGTTGGAGTATATGGGAAGAGTGAGCAGGCATACAAAGCGTAATAATGTTGTGTTCTTTGCAGTACTCCTCAAACTTGTCTGAGTGGTGGCTCTCATGACCATCAAGGACTAACAAGCAATAACCACCAACACTCCGGGGCTTTGTGTGCTTCTCAAAATGCTGAATCCAATCCATACCTCTCTCGTTTGTAGTCCAGCCATTTGCAGTAACAGCGATTACCCAATCTGCTGGAAATCCACTATTCTCATACCAAGATGCAAGGTGGTTTTTACCTGCCACAATGACAAATGGCGGCACTGCCCAACCTTGAGAACTAACGCCTTGGATTACTGTAACCCATTCCCGATTGCCAGGCTGCACCTTTTTTGCCTTTGCCCGCCCATCTGAGCTCGTTACTACCGTTGCGCTTGAGATGACGCCCATCATAAACCCAGTCTCATCAAAGTTGTAGATATCTGCATTGTTGATGCCATACTTTAGAATTGTGTTCCATACAAGCTCAAACCAGCCACGAATGACTTTTGGATCTTCGCACTTAGCCCTCTGGTAGTCGTATTTTCGCTGGAAGCGTGTCCGGAGCTCTACATGGCGCTTAACAAAGTTTGAAGCCCAACGTGACCCGACGCGTGGCGCGTCGCGTGTTGCAAGTAGTCGATTTGCCATATCTTCAACAATAGACAACTGAGGAGGGAACCCTTTAGCAGCTAAGTCAAGTATATACTGAACAAGAACTGATTCCTCTAGGTTACTTAATTTCCGTAAGTTGGCTTGGATATCGCGTCGTGAAGGTACACCTTGTAAACGGTGACGTAGCTTGCGGTGGTCTACGGAATAGATCCTAGCTGCAACTCGAAGGCGCAAATTTGGGTCGCTTTGCATAGCTTGGATAGCTAGCACTAATTTGCTTTCATCATTTTTATGGCGCATGTTTTGTTGTGGAGGAATTTAACATTTAGTTGGGGGGGTTGGTCACCGCATGATTTTGGCACTTTCGCTTGTTTGGCACTTTCGTTATACATGCACGTTATGTTAATAGAATTATCAACAACTTCATATGTTAGAACACAGTTTTACAGCTAACCTAATTCAATTTAACTAACTACTTATGGATAGTAACCCTACCTGCTACACTGTAGCAGCTGCTATCCTAATTAGGCAATTATGATGCCAAGCCTACCAGGGTTTATATTTCCTACTACGGCTAGTTTTATGGGGCTGCTACAAAATGGAGCAGCGTTACAGCAAATCTAAATTCCGCTGTCGTTGCTCAGTCATAATAGTAGTAATTTGTACAAGCTCTGACTGGAACAGCTCAGCCTCTGTTAACTGAGTTTGGATTTCAGTATAAGAAGATGCCCACTTTTGCCGTGACGGTGAACTAAGGATCTTATCAAATGTTTGACTCCATGTTGAAAGATCATAACTTGCTTGAAATGCGCGTTGTGGTGTTTCTAAAACTTCTGGTTTTGCATATATAGCAACCTTCTCTTGAATCTTTTCATAGTTAGGTGGCCAAATACCTGCATCTCTAAAAGACTTGATACAGTTACCCTTTGTAAATGTCTGCTTACGGATAGTAGACAAGTCTCTAAAGAAAGATATAACATTATAATCTGTATCAAAATTCCGGATTGCTTGTTGAATTGCACGTCGGTGCCAATGTTTATATTGTGCAAACACAGTAACATCTAGCGGTTGTAGAATATGCGTAAGATGAGACGGAAACACATGTAAGTGTATATTGTGTTGATGTGCAAGTATTATAAACTCTGGAACTTCATGTGAGACATGAGAGTCCATTATTAACAATTTCGTTCTTATAGACGGTGTATGTTGAATAAAATGCTGTAGATATTCCATTGCAAGCTCAGAGTTTGTATATCCGGAATCGGATACTGCAACTTTCTCATCACCGTGTAGATTGTCATGGTACCAACTTTCCATGTGTAATTTTCCTTGTATAATAAGGAACGGTGGAAGTGCAATGCCAGCAGCTGAAATTGTCTCTATAACTGTAAGACTTTGTCTGTTCTCTGGAGCTTGTATATAAAGCTATAAATATTAGAATAATATAAAGTAAGATAAGTAGAAACAACTTACCTCCTTTACTGCAGATGGTACCAACACATGTTCACCGGTGCTCATTCCTACACGGAATCCAACTTCATCAAAGTTGTAGATATCACCTGCAGTAATATCTAGTTGATTACACACATCTTTAAATTCATAAAACCATTCTTTAATAGCTGATACTTCATGAGATGCAACCCGTGCTGCTTCAATTGGCCGGGTTTTTATTGTATGGAAGTTGTGTTGTTGTGTCTTAATCCATGTCTGGAACCACCGTTGTGATGGTGGTGCACGTGTTGGAGTTTCTGCTGCACGTAGTTGGCAGATGGCACTGAACACCATAGGCTTAGTTGCACCGTACCCATTTTCGTACGAGCGTTGGATGTATCTTTGTATAGCTGTAACTTGTACATCAGACAGTACTCTGTTCTGGCCTCCGCGTGGCACAGCGGTGCGTTGTGGTGATGCGCGTCGTTGTCGTAGTCGTATAGTCCGGAGCGTACTTGGGTTTACTCTGTACATCCGTGCTACTGTAGCACTCTTCTCTGTTGGGTTTTCATTTAAAAATTCAATGGCATTTAAAAGAGCTTCATTTTTATTTACTTCAACTACCGGCATAGTTGTGGTTGTAGTTGTGCTCGTTGTCGGTCATGTTCATGGTCGGTCGTGTCGCGTCGCGAGTCCGCTCCCGAAGTGTCCCACAATCGCTTTCGCGTCCCAGTTCGCTTTCGCCAACCGCCTCCAGGCGGTGGTTTGAGAACCAACGATTATCCCATTTGCACATATACTATGTCACTAGGCACTCACTCTCAAAAGATTAGAATACGCAACACAGCGTATATTATTGCATTCTGAAGATCTAGAAATGATTATACACATAAATCTAGCATGACTATGAAGTAAAAAAGGGGATAAGAAGACGCCGCCGACACAGCGGCAGCAGGGTGGCGCTAAATCAAGGTATATAATGCATTCCAAGTCAGATCCCATTAGTTGGGATGGTTGGTCTGGCCGAAGGAGCTTACAGCGATCTGCACTCGTTTGGCCCCCTCGAGTACCTGTCAATCATCCTGGAGGACCCACGAAGTTCAAAGGCCTGTAGAAGAAGCATGCAGTGGTTGGATGCGGGTATTTCCCCCTTCTATTGGCTTATATGAGAACTCTCCCCGACACCTGTGGAGGAGATATTGATTTTTGAATGAAATCTCACGGAGACGAGGTTTGGCAAGGTGAAGCGATCGAACGGGGGATTGGGATGAGTTGTGTATTTTGAGGAAGAGGGAGGGAAGGAGCGGTGGTTGAGGTTGTGTTGTAGATGCGGAAGTTGCGCCGTTGAGGTTGTGTTGTGGAAGGAGAAAGGGGTGCCGGCGATGGCAGAGTGGCGGCCACGGCGGAAGGAGCAAGGGGGGAAGGAACGCGGCGGTGCCCGTGTGCGAGATGACTCGGCACATACACCGTCCGGCAAACGCCAAAGTCATCACGCGGCTCAAGCCTGCTCGGACGCCACGACCATGCACTAGACACTTGCACACACCCCATCCCCTCGCTCTGCTCTCGCTGCCGCTTGGCAACATGAGAAATACTGAGCGATACGAGCGTTGTTTAAGAGATGAGAAAGGGAAGGTGTGAGTGATGGCTATGAAATGCGGAAGGAGCAAGGGACGGTTGTGGTCTCATAACAAACGCGGAAGGAGCGTGGATATCCGACTAATAGGAATCGTTTATCAAGCTTCAAACACTTCAGATCAGCTGATAGAGTCAGTAACTTGAAATACTGGTCTGTACGATGGCAGTGGTATACTAAAAACTGTATTATATGACGTGAAAAGTGCGAAGAAACGCAAGTGCTGATTAAAAATATATTGATTTATATAGACCAACAAAAGGAGAAAGGAAATCTACTCACCTACCACTTGACTTACCTATTTAACCAAAGAAAAACTGGCTTACCTATTTGACTAAAGAAAAACTGACTTACCTGTCCACGTACCTTGGACACTCGCGGCGGCGGCAAGAACCGCGGCAGAGTCATAACCTGATACCGCCGCCGGCAGTAGGGACAAGTCCGATTCGTCCTATAATACCACTGCGAGATGCAAGTCCAATGGAATATATGTCCACACGGCATTCTCCTCGGATCCCGAGCCTCAGGCTCGAAGCCATCCTGGCAGATTATGCACTCCTCCCCAGCGAGTCGAGTATCTGTCGGATCAATACGACACAGCAGGTCCGTCTCGTCGAACTTTCCGCCGGAGAAGTACTGGCGGTGCTCGAGCTCAATGCCCTTCCTGTCCTCCTCTGCGCGAAGTTTGCGGACCTCAGCGTAGAACTGTTCCGGGTCCACGATGCCGGGATGTCGCCGTAGCTGCCTGTAGTGTTCGATGAAGTCGCGGGCCGTACGATCGAAGCGGTCTGTGGAGAAGTCGCTGTAAAGAAGGTTGTTGGGGTCGAAACGTATCGATAAGGCGCGATGGCGAGCTTGTGTTTCGGCTGCGAGCTGGTGGTAGTCGAGTATCCGCCTCTCAATCTCTTCAGAGGGGATTGTGTTCATATTGGGATCTGAACGGGTGATGGTTGGGTCTTCGTCGAAACTAATGCGGAGGGGGTTAGTAGGGTCATCTCGCGTCTCGCACTGCACGCAGTAGCCTGGCATGCATATAGTGGCTATGACACTTTGATCGCAGACGTTCCTGTTGCAAGGGATCCAGCGGGGGTTGATGTTGCTTCGGGATATTATGCATGTAATTGTGGCAGGATGTTTTGGTCTCGATATGACCACAGGTCTCGTGAAAACATCTGATAACATCGCAGATCGGTATAAACCCGCCTCGTTCTGCTTTTACCAGCGGCGAAAGACAGCTTTCGTACGGACCATCGATCTCGTTTGCAGGCGCTGCCTTGCCAAAAAGCTGTGACGACATAGTTATTACTTGAGAATTATTGAAGTCTGTTGAACACACGCTGTTGAGCAGTTGTTGAAGTCTGTTGAATACGCGCCGTTGGGCTTTGCATTAACTCTTCACTGTCCAGGATCTGATTTCAAGACTTGCTTGGTAAATTGCCCTCATTATATACTCCAGAGCCCAACGGCCCCTCGGTCCCGTTCAATGTTGAAACATAAAGCATTTTCGAAAACAATGCGAAGGTATTGCTCTTCGTTTTATCGACGGACAAACTCCTTGTTCGGGCTTCTATGTTCGTTCCAAAGCTTTGCCATTGTGCTCTGCGGCAGGGCTTTCATTGTTCGATTCTGATAGACAGCAGATCAGAGGAGTCTTCTGACGAGAGCATCGTTGAGTAATTCCTGTGCCTCGACGGCAGTTTCGTAGTTCCTTTCAGACAGATTCGCGGGCCAAGCGAATCCCTTGACAACAGAGCATTGTCAAGCAAACACAAAGAGATAAAGAGAGACTCATGTGCCTCGGCGAATGAGATATCATTCAGATAAGCCGCAGGCCAAAGAAATCCTTTAACAAGAGAGTTTATTAAAAAAAATACGAACAACGAAGAGAGACACCTACCACAACCAGCATTTACAAACCTATTTCTCAGGTGCTTCTGAGTCCTGCCCATTCCAAGAAACGATCAGTCACCCATCATCACAAACCACATCCCCAAACACCCACCCACCTCAAAACATAGAAAGTGCACCCCCCCGCCCCAAAACAATTCCAAACCCCCCCACTCCCCTCCTACCTCGGCGACCTCTCTTCTCCCCTCCCCCTATCCCTCCTCCGCCATCGGCCTCCAGCCGCCCTCGGCGCAGCCGCTACCGCGGAACCGCACCGCCCAACCGGAGCTCCGGCACACACAGTCAGCGTCCCAGTAATCGCCGTACATATTCCCTTCCCGGTGGCGATTCGCGCGGAGGCGCCAGACAGGTGCTAGGTAAAGTGATTCCGGTGTGAGACGCGATGAGGGCGGGTCAGGGAACAGCTTTACTCTCAGGAAGGCTTAGACGCGATGCCGGTGGTTGGTGGCTTAGGGAAGGTGATGAGGTGAGAGTGGAGCGGTTGCGGAGGGTATGGGGAGAGGCAGGTAAGCACTTACTGGCTTTTGTTGGTATGTGGCTGGTGATATATGGGTGGCTTGTTGTCATGTCCGAGGAGGGAGGGTTGGAAGAGAAAATAGACCAGGGCCCTCCCCACTGAAGTGAAAGACACGCGATGGTCACCCTGGTGTTAAGGTTGATGTGCTTTACCTGAGGGGCGCTGCTCGTGCCACATCTACGAATTGTACGGTGGTTGGGCAACCACTGAGGGGTTATTCGGGGCCGCGGGCGCCGGCTGGACTCTCGATTTAGCGATACGATGAGTCGAACACTGCTGAATCGCCCTATTAGAGCGATTCAGCAGCGTTCGACAGTCGTCGGCTTGACACTGCCTGATCCGGTGATGCTAAGCAGTACTAGAGTACTACTAGATTATATTAGTATTAGGGGCAAAAACTTGATATACCCAGTAAACTGGTAAGAAAACTCCATCTACCCAGTCGGCCGCTAACCCGCCTTTGGAAAGGTTAACGAGCCAATGAGAGGCGTACTATCATTTGAGAGTAGGTGCTCTCATATGGCCTTTTTGAAGCAATTGAGCTGGCAATATGTCATACTGACATTCGTTGCACTCAGTTTGCTATCAAACTCAAGAGCAAACTTAGAAATCTCCTCCTCAAACCTACAAGTCACTATACATATTTTGGCTTATCACACCAACAACAAGAGCAATACTACTCAACGATTGCTACAACCCTCTATGATTCAGGACTTGTCATCGCTCCTTAGTTACTGAGCCGATATTACCACATAGCATATCTCTACAACCCTCTATGATTCATTACACATCATCACTCCTGTCATACTGACATTCGTTGCACTCAGTTTGCTATCAAACTCAAGAGCAAACTTAGAAATCTCCTCCTCAAACCTACAAGTCAACATACATATCTTGGCTTATCACACCAACAACAGAAGCAATACTACTCAACGATTGCTGCAAACTCTTCTACTACATCTGTTTATGCTACATACATCACGGCATATCATTTGGACACTCATTGAACAAGTTATTAAGAAAATCTCCTCCTTAAGGGGGTGGGCCAATACTATCACATGGCATATCTCTACCAACTAGAGGCCTAGAAACATGAACGATAGCTCTAGAAGCTTCTACAACCCTCTATGATTCATTACACGTCATCGCTCCTTAGTTACCCACAAGATTGGTTAAGTTATGACATAATTTATCTATAGGTACTCTGACCTTGGACCTCCTTTTCACTTCCTATAGGCTAGGAACCCAAGAGATGGTTCTATGGGATTCTCTTACGTTCACTACATGATTAGCAAGCTAGTTGTGGGTCGCACTTGATTTCTAATACATTTACCAAGCCTGGTTAGTCATGGAAAGTCTTGGAAAATGAGAGAACTACACTCCTTTGGCATATAGGATTGCCCTTTCCTTAAGAAAGGGCAAGCAGACAATACAGTAAATCGACTAGCACATACTTCTACGTCTTTTCCAAGCTTCCAAGCATTGATCTTGTTATTCTCTGTTTTTGAAAAGTCAGTGAGTGTTACGACGGAACAAGAAGGCTGGCCAACTACAGGACAGGAAGGAGGGAGGTCGCATGAGACCGGCCCTGGTACCTGGAGGGGCAGCGGGGAATAGTAGTTCCGAAAGTATCACGTGACGGACTCGCAGGATGATGAGAAGAGTCCTAAGAGTCCAGGACTCCGAGGACTCGAGTGAGTTCCCAGGAGTCCACTAGGCACGTGACGGACTCGCAGGATGATGAGAAGAGTCCTAAGAGTCCAGGACTCCGAGGACTCAAGTGAGTTCCCAAGAGTCCACTAGGCACGACGCCACTATATAAGTAGATAGTATTTCCTTAGATAGGAGCTTCGTGCTCAACTCAATACAGTATTTGTTATATACTAGTAACGTGTTACTTGAAGCCTTTGTGTCTGATCCCCTGCCTCCTCTGATAAGTAAACCTTTACGCAAGAGAACCTCTGTGTCTTCTATCGTTTAGAAGTCAGCGTTACAGTGAGGTGCTAACCTCTGACTTACCCCTGAGTTCTCAGACTCAACATTTGTTGCAACTTGTCTGAACCACTTCACTACATCACACACCTGATTGCTGCATTGTGGAATAGTCTAAGCTACGACCCTTTGGCTCTGTTTCCTAAGACAGTGTGTTGTCTTAGTAAATTCATGCCTTCCTTGGGTGGCTAGATTCTCATATCTGGTGCACCCACCATTACAACTCCTTAGTTATTGGGCTAATACTACCACATGACATTCTCTACCAACTAGAGGCCTAGGAACATGAACGATAGCTCTAAAAGCTTCTACAACCCTCTATGATTCATTACACGTCATCGCTCCTTAGTTACCCACAAGATTGGTTTTAAGTTGTGACATAATTTGTCTATAGGGGTACTCTGACCTTGGACCTCCTTTTACTTCCTATAGGCCAGGAACCTAGGAGATGGTTCTATGGGATTCTCTTACGTCGACTACAGTTACCAAGCCTGGTTAGTCATGGAAAGTCTTGGAAAATGAGAGAACTACACTCCTTTAGCATAAATAGGATTGCACTTTCCTTAAGAAAGGGCAAGCAGACAATACAGTAAATCGACTATCACATACTTCCACGTCTTTTCCAAGCTTCCAAGCATTGATCTTGTTACTCCTTGTTTCTGAAAAGTCTGTGAGGTGCTAACCTCTGACTTATCCCTGAGTTCTCAGACTCAACATTTGTTACAACTTGTCTAAACCACTCCACTACATCATACACCTGATTGCTGCATTGTGGAATAGTCTAAGCTGCGACCCTTTGGCTCTGTTTCCGAAGACAGTATGTTGTCTTAGTAAAATCATCCCTTCCTTGGGTGGCTAGATTCTCACATCTGGTGCACCCACCATTACACATCCGCAATTGAGTGTTAAGCTTTGACAGCATTCTGTTACGGCTATGGTAACATGACATCAGTTACAGGGCTAGCAGAACTAGGCTCGTAGCATGACTAACAAAGAAGTCATGTGGCTAGGTAGCGGGGCTAGGCTGCAGCCTTACCATATCCACTAGTTTCTGATAGTTACAGAAACTAGTGGATATTGGATAGTTGAGCTATCCATCAACTATCCAGATTACCCATAAGGCTCGACGCCACTATAAAGTAGAAGAATTCCCTTAGATAGGAGCCTCGTGCTCAACTCAATATAGTATTCTTTACAATACTGTAACGTGTTACTTGGAAAGCCTTTGTTTAATCCCCTGCCTTCTCTGTCAAGTCAACCTTACGCAAGAAACCTCTGTGTCTTCTATCGTTTAGAAGTCAGCATTACACACTCGTTCTAGGTCATACAGGACTAGACCAGTAGCTGCGAAGCCGCTACGGATCACATTAAGAGCCATAGACTCTTTACGGGCTGAAAGGTAGGTAGTAAGGAAGTCTGGTTTGTTGATATGGTTGACCCCAGCCCACATATACTCCTTAACTTGCTTTCCATATGACTGCTTTAGAACTGCAAAGCAGCTAACATCTAGTTGCTGCCAAAGATGTAATGAATGCAGAGGCATACAGAGCATAATAATTAAGTGCTCTGAACAAAATATGTCAAAACTCTGGAGTAGAGTGACTCCTGTGGCCATCAAGAATAAGAAGCTGATAAACACCCTTTGTACGGTCCTTGGTTTGTTTGTCAAAGGTGTCTATAAGCCAAGTTAGGCCAAGAGAGTCATTTGTCTATCCATTTTCACTAACTGCAATAGTCCAATTGCGTGGTAATGCATCTGTATACCACGAAGAGATATGGACCTTGCCTTCGAAGATAATCATAGGAGGTAGTGCCTAGCAGTTAGAACTCACACATTCAATAGCTGTAACCCATTCGCGGTTCCTAGGTTGCATGCAAACAGGCTTACCAGCCTGCATAGAACCTGTAATAACCTTTGCAGTTGTAATTAATCCCATTTGAAATCCAGTCTCATCAAAGTTATATATATCCCCCTCTTGAATCCCATATTTAGCAATTGTATCCTGCACAAGCTGAAACCAGTGTCAAATAATTATAGGATCTTCGCATTTTGCCCGCTAATAGTCATATTTACGGGTGTATTTTGACTAGAGGGTGTTGTGTCGCTAGACGAAGTTTTGAACCTAGCATTTGCCAACCGTAAGTGGATTATCTTGATCTGTATCCAACTGTTTTTTAAGTAGTAGATTTGCCATTTGTTGTACAGAATTAGCTCTAAGTGGTAGGCCTCGCTCCTCCATAGATAATATCCATTAGACAAGTGTTAACTCCTTAGTAGCTGTGAGTTTAAGGTTCGCAGCACCTCTAACACTTGTAAACTGTCCATCTTTATAGGCTTGTATTACTAGAGTCAGTCGACCCTCTTTGTGGATCAATTAGAGGTCAATTGGTTGAGACATGTTAATTTGAAGGTGGGTATACGCGAGAATTTGTGATGCGTACACCGCTCACCTATATGCGCCGCTCGCTTATAAAGTATGTTACTCATGAGTATGATTACATAATTATACTCATTACTCATGAGTTTGAGTACAATAATTTTTATACTAATGAGTATACTCATAAGTACTAGGTTATGTGTAAATCACATGACTTTTAATTTAAAGAGCTTTATTAGTACAGTAGAGTCCTGCTAAGCTGATGGAATCTAGCACCAATTTGATATTGCCTTAATGAATATATCGCGCAACTAAATGCTTATATAATCCAACTATCTAAACTGCTTTAAACTCTGCCATTAACATCTAATGCCTCTAAATCTGTGTTATATCTCTTAATAGCTCTTAATTGTGCTGTTGAGATATTATCTCGACTTTCTGTAAACTCAATTAGAATTTGAACAGCCTCTCGAGCAGCCTGAATTGAAGGTATAGGCCGCTCCAAGGTTTCTTCTTCTTCTTCTTCATTTTGAGCGTCATTATATTGACTTAGATGACTTGATATAATATCTTGTAAAATCTCCTTCTCTGTTAGTGCCTCAGTATCATTGTTCTGGGCCTGTGTTTCCTCATTAGGATTTAAGAAATTGTGTAATGCCATTGCATCTTGTATATTTCCAGCTCTTGTAATGTTGTTATATAATTCAGATAGATTTGGAGGATTAATTGGTGTTGAAAGAGCAAGTGGTGGAGATTTCTAAGTTTGCTCTTGAGTTTGATAGCAAACTGAGTGCAACGAATGTCAGTATGACACAAGTTGAATAACGTGAGCTAGGCAGGGTATGTTTCCAACGCAAATAGGGGCTATAGAGAAATTTAAGTACTTCATCGTAGCCAGACTTCTGGTACTTTCCTCCAATAAAATGCTCGTTGTCCGCAATACTATCAAGCATTATTTCCACATCTCTCATCATCGAAGTGTTGTTTGACGCATTATCAGTCGTAATGGATATAATTCGTCCTTCTAAATGCTGCCTTGTGATAACTTTTTCAAGTATTCCACATAACTCAGCACCAGTATGCTCTGTATATATAGGTTCAAAGCCAATCAAGACCTCTTGCATTTTCCAATGACAGTCGATAAACGATACAATAATACCCATAAATGAAAGTGGAGTAACACTTGACCAACAGTCTAGCGATAATGCAATCTTTGAACCAGGAACAACATCTTGTAGCATCTCTTCTTCGATTTGTGTGAGCTTTGTTGTTAAGAGGTTTCGAATAGTTGTTGCTGAGGGTACTGGATAGTGAGGATTCTGTAAGATAGCAAGCCTTTTCCATTCAGGATCCTCAACTGAGCAGAACGAGCTATGAGTCAAGATAACTGTGTATAGAACTTGTTTATAAAATGTCTCTTGTGTGAGAATATGATCCTATTAACCTACATGATTCTGGTAATAATCTGGTAATCCTTACTTGTTGAGGTCGCATTTGATTGATTTGCATTTGATAGAGACTATCCTTACCCATCCGTGACTTCTTTTTGCAAATGTCTGATGCAAGATGTGTTGCCATAGACTTTGGGCCAGCAGACTTGTTGCAGGATGTGTAAGGGCCTTCAAACAATAAGTACAAATGACACATGGTTCTCCAGAAAGCTGGTTGTTATGGCTACAGTAACATGACATCATGGTTACAGGGCCTAGTAACGTGATGTGTGAGTCACAGGGGGCAAGCGGGGTAGGCTGCCATGTGATGGGGCTAATGGATAGTTGCAGAAACTAGTGGATATTGGATAGTTAACGAACTATCCTGAATATCTAGCTATCCGCCAACTATCCAGATTACCCATGAGGCACGATGCCACTATATAAGTAGATAGTATTTCCTTAGATAGGAGCTTCGTGCTCAACTCAATATAGTATTCTTTACAATACTGTAACGTGTTACTTGGAAAGCCTTTGTGTCTAATCCCCTGCCTCCTCTGTCAATTCAACCTTACGCAAGAAACCTCTATCTTCTATCGTTTAGAAGTCAGTGTTACATCACACCCTGTTTTTAACATAAGTAATGACTAATCAAACATGTGATATAACTGAGTTGCCAAGACCCATACTAGGTACTCAGCAAGTGAGTAATCCCTATTCAACAATACTCGGGACATGAGTGAGTAACTCAGCTGGGTGAGTAAAAATTCTACTACTCGACCCAGTGCGCAGCCTAGTCGCATCTTTGTGCGGAGTGTATTGGAAATGCTTAATCCGGGCCGACGTATGGCCGAAGCCGATATCTGCCAACGTAAGTTTCAACAGTAAAGGCCGTCCACACCTCGTACTCATTCTCCGCCCAGAATAGCGGCGTCCAGCCAGAGCTATCCTTCGTACCTACCTCGACGCCCTTCTTCAGCAGCAGTTTGACGACGATCTCGTCCCCTTAACCCGCCGCCCAGGAGACCGGCGTCTGGCTAGAGCTATCCTTCGCATCCACCTCAGCGCTCTTGTCCACCAGTAGCTGGACGATAGCCTCGTGTCCTTTCTCTACCGCCGATGATAACGGCAGCAGCCGGAGCTATAATGAACCAAGATTATTCCATTTATTTTCGCGTTTGACAGGCTTTGAATCGCACCAACCTGAAAACACTTGGCTTAATATGCTAGGCTAGAAATGGAGCAGTAACTTCATTTGACGTTTCCGGAGCTGACTGTGCTACTTCCTTAATTGATATCTAGGTACTTCCACTCTCGAGGCTCTTTGTCTTCTCTATCTGTGGGGCCGCCTCCACATGCGTAGCAGCCGTACCTCTTGCGCTCTGTCTCCTCCGCGCCAACCAGAATACAAATCCAGCTAATAGCGCTACACCAACGGTGACCATAGCCCCAACCACTCCTGCAACGGCATTCGACATTCCACTTCCACTACTTCCGGCCGCTGCTTCTGTAACTGCTGTCGTTGAAAGTGCAGGACAGAACGATTGCGTGGCGTTGCAAGCAGAGCACCACTGACCCACTGACGTGATTGCTCTTTGCTTGATCTGGACTGAGAATTCCTTCCAGGAAAGAGAAAGCGCGGAACCACCGAAGAGAGGATATACAGTGGGCTGGCTTCCGGCATTAGAGCCATTCCTGAACAAGAAGCGCACGTTCAGATCATCGGTATTAGAGGGGAAAGTTGTTATGTCGGCAGTAGTGAAGAGTTCAAAAGACATAGTTGATGCATAATGGGGTAAGCCGAAAAAGTCCGTATTTGCAGAGGTCAAATTCATGACGCCGAAGCTGGCCATCAAATTATCGTAGCTGCCAGCTAAGAGAGAGAACTTAAGTTTCCCTTTAGAGGAAACAGTTTGATTGAGCTGTGTGAAGATGCCTCCTAGTAGTGTCTCTCCGCCAATGGAACGCGCCGGCATGGTTCGATTGTAGTTGGTGCCAAACTCAGCAGAGTCGGCTAGTGTGCGGAGCTGGAAGAGTTGCTCTGAAGTCACATCGCTAGTGAATGATGTGTTGTGAATATTGGCAACGTTGATGAGGTCGAAGATATCATAAGCCTTCTCGTAGCTTAATAGTTCAGGCTTATAATCGTAAACGTTCTTGAGGACATCCCAGAACTGGGAGTAAAAAGTCTTGGTAGATTCGTTGAAGGTAAGGAATTCAGAGGACTCTTCAAAAGTGCCTTTTGCTTCAATAGCCGCAGGGCAGCCTTCGTCGCCTTTAAGCCAAATAGTATCGGGGGAGTTCACATCCTCGCCATGTAGGACAACATATTGATAGCCATTCAGGGGATTTGTGTATGAACTGCCATTGTTGATTGATTGCGTTGCTAGAGGGGTTTCATTCATGTCCTCAAGGGGTGGGTATAGACCCTGAAGGAAGGCAGTAGCCGTATTAAGGAGGACCTATATGCTGTCAGTCAATTACCATTGTGACAATATTCTAGGACTAACACACCTGCTGATCTGGAGCGCTGGCATACACCTGTGATGGAACATATTTCGAGTTGGAGATTCCTAAAATCTGCTTCTGAGAGCCGGCTGCGATGTAAAGGTCGCGATAATCGGAGCCGACCTCAAAGTTCTCGGTGATGCCCAGAGGAGACAATTGATACCCCGAATAATGCTTCGAGTTCCCTACCAGTGGAATGTCATTAGTTGTCTTACTAGATAGAAGTGGTAAACTTACGATCGCCGTGCCTGGTAAAGACAGTCACGCCATGAATTGTTTCTCCAACTACAGCAGATACTAATACAACAGCAGTTGCAATACTGTAGGACTTCATAGTGAGGATCTCGATACGAATCACCTTATTATTAGACGTTTATATAGTAGGATCGGCCGCTGGAATGGGCATACGTATTTCAGGCTTGGGAATGACGGTACTTATACGTTTTCTTGTGACGTTTTCTGGTGTGGTTATTCTCCTCCTCAATACATCCAACATGATCCGCAGTGCTTATCTTGTCTTATCGCAGAGCCAAGAGCACCATCAGCGAAAACTTTTCCTGTAGCCAATAAACATGTGCCTTGTGCCGCCCGAAAGTCTTCACCGGGGTGTCGCCGTTGACCGGGACCCTGCATATCGCCGAATCTCGGTCGCAAGAACCATCGACTGACCCTCAATACTGCAGTGTGCTTGGGAAAGCCGGTTTCGGGCGGGACGTGCGGGTCGTTCCATGCCAACCGATAATCGGTTAGTTGCTCTGATTCGAGGTACAGTATTATCTCGTTAAGTCGATACACGATTAGTCGATTTTCTGGATAACTCGATAACTTTCTTCGCCTTCCATTCGTCATACAAATCACGATACACACGATATTGAGTCCCATTTTCCGATTATCGACTTAAACTAATTACTAGACTACTATTAGAATACCTTCAAAATGCCTTCGAAAAAGCTCTATTCTATGACTCTTGAACAGCGAAAAGCCCTCCGAACCTAGCATCGATATTACCATCTAAAACCTACACAAAAGGCAACTATATAGTGGTTCCTCAACCAATACAATCGTCAACTTAGCCAATCTACAGTCTTGGAATCCCTTAGCTCTCAATTTTCAGACCTTAACGATACTCTTAATACTCTAGAAACAAACAGCTATAAAGCTTAGCGTCGCCACGCTATCGCCTAGCCTAAATTAGAAGCTGCTCTTTACGACTAGCAGAGGCTTATTAAAGAGCATCATAGCATTACAACTATAGAAATCTTCCAATTAAAGGTGAAGATTATCTAGAATCAGCTACTGCAATACCATGGACTACCTACGCTAGAATTTAGCTAACGTTCGCAATGGCGTAATGACTATCATACTGACATTCATTGCACTCAGTTTGCTATCAAACACAAGAGGCAAACTTAGGAATCTCCTCCTCAAACCTACAAGTCACCATACATATCTTGGCTTATCACACCAACAAGAAGAGCAATACTACTCAATGATTGCTGCAAACTCTTCTACTACATCTGTTTATGCTACATACATCACGGCATATCATTGGACACTCATTGAACAAGTTATTAAGAAAATCTCCTCCTTAAGGGGGTGGGCCAATACTACCACATGGCATATCTCTACCAACTAGAGGCCTAGGAACATGAACGATAGCTCTAGAAGCTTCTGCAACCCTCTATGATTCATTATACATCATCACTCCTTAGTTACCCACCCACAAGATTGGTTAAGTCATGACATAATTTGTCTATAGGGGTAGGAACCCAAGAGATGGTTCTATGGGATTCTCTTACGTTTACTACATGATTAGCAAGCTAGTTCTGGGTCGCACTTAATTTCTAATACAGTTACCAAGCCTGGTTAGTCATAGAAAGTCTTGGAAAATGAGAGAACTACACTCCTTTGTCATAAATAGGATTGCCCTTTCCTTAAGAAAGGGCAAGCAGACAATACAGTAAAACAAGCTTCCAAGCATTGATCTTGTTATTCTTTGTTTCAGAAAAGTCAGCGAGGTGCTAACCTCTGACTTATCCCTGAGTTCTCAGACTCAACATTTGTTACAACTTGTCTCAACCACTTCACTACATCATACACCTGATTGCTGTGTTGTGGAATAGTCTAAGCTACAACCCTTTCGCTCTGTTTCCTAAGACAGTGTGTCTTCTTAGTAAAATAATCCCTTCCTTGGGTGGCTAGATTCTCACATCTGGTGCACCCACCATTACATGCTGCTCGATATAGAGCCACATGACAAAGAGCATGTCCTTGGCGGTCATACGGTTTTGACTGCCACAGGTGATGCTAGGGGTGGTGCTAGTAGCGCCATTGTCATCATTGTCGTCCTCCTAGGTTAGGGGCTGGCTAGGCCCTTTAGGGGAGAGGGGAAATCTATAGATGGGATGGGCAAGTAGTTAGGGAGTTCCTCTAAGGGCTAGGGCAGGCTAAGCTGGTCGAGGCTAGGGCTAGGGATCTCAATAGACTCTCTAATAGGTTTAGAGAGTTGGCTTGCTATCCGCATAGCAAGCCAGGCCATTTGCTAGATGCTGTGAGGGTCAGCTTCTATAGTTATTATAGAGTAATAAACAGTATTCACCTATTTCAAGCATAGGATGTCGTTCAAATTGTTGATTATGGCTAACTACATATGATACACTACTAATTTACTAGGCTAGAAATGGCTCTGTCACAGTGTGATAGAGTTCTGTCATAGTGTAACAGTCCCCTTTCTTATTTGGGCACATGGGGCTAGAGTGGGCAATAGAATAGCACCAAAAGCATAAAAGTTACCAATACCTAACGTGCATGTATAACGAAAGTGCCAAACAAGCGAAAGTGCCAAAATATCGCGACTACCCCATAAGAATTGCAATAAATCCACCACAACAATATAAATTAATTAAAACTACTCGGAGTCCTCTTCCTCAGACCTGTCTATTACAATCTGACAAGTGCGCGCATTGTGTCCAGTCTCACCACACTTGCCACAGCGACGTGCATGGGTTTCTTCCCTTGGCTTCTGACCACTACATGCCCTTATTTCTTGCTCTACTTGCTGCACAACGTCCCTCTCGTCCTGTAGCTCCTGTGCTACCTGTTGACTAAGTGATCCTCCTTGCTGTAGTCGTGTTTTTTTAGCTCTCCGGCACTTGCTTAGCACTTCATTTGCCTGTCGCAGGTTTTGGTTCTCTGCTTTTAACAATGCTAATTGATGCATTATTTGCGATGCACCCTTTGTAAACTGGTCAACAGCTGCATAGATTGAGGTTGGAGAGCTATTTTGATGATTAATGAAAGTAGACTGTGATACAGCTTCAGTTGGGTTATTTGGTGTCTGAAAAACCCATGGTTGAGCGGTGTTTGGGCGAGAGGTTGGAGGTGTTGGCGTCTTAAACCTAAGGTCAAGTGTAGATATTACACTCTCAGGGCTAAATGGAAGGAGCCCAGCACCTCGGAACCCTCCCTGAATATTGCTTTCTGTCATCGCAATGTTAAATGCTGCGTGGAAGGCAGGAAAGAAGTCACCCTTAGTAATGTGAATAATATGAGCCCGCATCATATCTTCAATTTGCCGACCGTAAGCTCTCTTTAATGGGCCAAAACAGCCAACATCAAGTGGTTAGAGTATATGGGAAGAGTGAGCAGGCATACAAAGCGTAATAATGTTGTGTTCTTTGCAGTACTCCTCAAACTTGTCTGAGTGGTGGCTCTCATGACCATCAAGGACTAACAAGCGATAACTACCAACACTCCGGGGCTTTGTGTGCTTCTCAAAATGCTGAATCCAACCCATACCTCTCTCGTTTGTAGTCCAGCCATTTGCAGTAACAGCGATTACCCAATCTGCTGGAAATCCGCTATTCTTATACCAAGATGCAAGGTGGTTTTTACCTGCCACAATGACAAATGGCGGCACTGCCCAACCTTGAGAACTAACGCCTTGGATTACTGTAACCCATTCCCGATTGCCAGGCTGCACCTTTTTTGCCTTTGCCCACCCATCTGAGCTCGTTACTACCGTTGCGCTTGAGATGACGCCCATCATAAACCCAGTCTCATCAAAGTTGTAGATATCTGCATTGTTGATGCCATACTTTAGAATTGTGTTCCATACAAGCTCAAACCAGCCACGAATGACTTCTGGATCTTCGCACTTAGCCCTCTGGTAGTCGTATTTTCGCTGGAAGCGTGTCCGGAGCTCTACATGGCGCTTAACAAAGTTTGAAGCCCAACGTGACCCGACGCGTGGCGCGTCGCGTGTTGCAAGTAGTCGATTTGCCATACTTTCAACAATAGACAACTGAGGAGGGAACCCTTTAGCAGCTAAGTCAAGTATATACTGAACAAGAACTGATTCCTCTAGGTTACTTAATTTCCATAAGTTGGCTTGGATATCGCGTCGTGAAGGTACGCCTTGTAAACGGTGACGTAGCTTGCGGTGGTCTACGGAATAGATCCTAGCTGCAACTCGAAGGCGCAAATTTGGGTCGCTTTGCATAGCTTGGATAGCTAGCACTAATTTGCTTTCATCATTTTTATGGCGCATGTTTTTTTGTGGAGGAATTTAACATTTAGTTGGGGGGGTTGGTCACCGCATGATTTTGGCACTTTCGCTTGTTTGGCACTTTCGTTATACATGCACGTTATCAATATTATATTATTGTAGAGCTCGAAGATTTATAGGGGCTACTCCTAAACCAGGACGGGTGTGATTACACTCTACCTTCACTTCTAAGGCCATCCATTACAAAGAAACCATGAAAGGACAATGGGGCCCAGTTACCTTAGGGGGAAGTAATTGAACCAATTAAGTTAAGCCAGGTCTGTAATAAGTCTCGGTCTGGTCGGGAAATTCAGGAGTTATGGTGTAATATAGATCTATAGCAATAATTATAATAATTGTCAACTACTACAAATTAGACATATGGAAAATAAGTCATTATATGGATTATCTACATGTGATTGTTACCAACCCTAGTCCCATGGGGTTTCTTAGCAGACTGCTAGGAAACCATGGGTTATGAGCTTTAGACTAGACCATGGTCTAGTCTGAAGATTTGGACCCAGACCGGACCATGGTCTGGTCTAGGGTCAGTTTCCTAATGGGGTTGGTTCCCCATGATGCACACTAGTTATTACCAATCACTTTGCTACTACCTAGGGCGCACCATATAAGTTTGTCATTGTATAGTCGTCTAGGGGTTTCAGTGAAGCCCTAATTGTAATTATCAAGGCTTTGAAAAGACTGACGTGGGCTAGCGAACAGATTCTTACTGAAGTTGGCGAGTCCTTGTATCTGTTTAATGAACTCCTTTCAATTGGGTATTTTGAACACAGCAGCATCAGATATCACAATGATGCTGAGTCAACACTAGGCCTAACAGTTGCTACACTCTCACTCAGTGCCTTGGCCACCATGTATCTTCAGCCTAAAGCAAAGGCAGCAGTAGGGATTACTTTAAGGAATGCCAAGGGCATGAAAGCTCCTATTCTCCATGTGACTCTTAAGCACAGTGACGTGGTTATAATGCATGGGCCCAGAGTTCAGCAGTACTACGAGTATGAGGTTGTTCCAAACGGGTGTTACGACGGAACAAGAAGGCTGGCCAACTACAGGACAGGAAGGAGGGAGGTCGCATGAGACCGGCCCTGGT